GAGAGAGTTCGAACGCGAGTTTCCCGCATTTCGCGCAGCAACACTTCCCTAAACAAGCGGACTGCATTCACCGGTGGGTGTGTTGTCTAGGGGAGCTGGAAATGAGCGAGCTGCAGGTATTTATCGCGACCTAACGTCATACTTTGTTCTACAAACCGTAATTGAAATGCTTTCACTACAGGCGCCTCATACAATTGAATCGACGCAGTTGTCACACTCTGTGCCGTGTTTTAAAGAGGAACTGGTGAGTCAAACTAGCGCTAGCCTGCGCTGCTCTGTTGGCTCTTTCTTATATTTTTCTGTGTGGGCGCAGAGGCCTATTATTATGAGTATATTTTTGCTGTGCTCCTCCTGCTAAAGTTTGCATACATTAGATAGTTGTTTTGATTATGTGCACTAAGCTAGATTAATATTTGCACTATTGTTTATGGTTCATTGATATGAGAATCAGTGCTTTGACTGATTGAATTAATTTATATGAGACATTTTATTATGTAATGATATATTGGTAATTATGAGATATTACTAATGCTGGCCCAGTTCATACAGGCCAGGTTCCTTCCCCTCCATTGGTCCCTTCAGTCCTTTGGAACAATAACCACTATGGACATTAAACTGATTATATAGATACAGGTCCTAGCCCAATACTCATATTCATATATGCTGCACTGCTGCACTTGCTACTTCCCATTAAAAACCCCAAAGATAAAAAGTATGTTGACACGGACTGCTCTGATTTTATGTGTGGTCTGTGCATGTGTAACTGAGCCTGCATCTGGCACAACATCCAATTAGATCACGTAGATAGTTTTGATTTATCAGCAGACAACGACATGGAACAAACTGTTAGTCCATGGGTCAGAGACCAACGAGAATGCACCAGCAAAATGATTCCTAACATTATTTTGTTTGCCTACAAAAGTACGTGGAGACCAACAAGAAACAAATCGCGGTCAAAAAGACTCGAGAGGACTCGAAAGTCAAACCGTAGGACTTGGGACTGACTTGAGATTTGTTGGCCTTTGACTTGGACTCGACTCGGGACTTGCCTGTCTTGACTCGTGACTTGACTCGGGACTTGAGGGCAATGAATTGAGACTGACTTGTGACTTGCTAAACAATAACTTTGTCCCACCTCTGATACTTACCTTACCTCCACTTTTTTTTCTGACAATTTAGCAAATCTACAAGAGCCCAAAGCAATCTCATTTGCTAAAAGGGGATATTGTTTTCGAGCATTATTCACAGGCGCACTGCAGCTGTGTATGCCACAAGCTGCAATCTGTCAAGTTCTGCTAAAGCACATTGAAAACTGGTCCCCACTGGCGAAACAAAGGCTTTAAATAGAACAGGTGCAAGACATGTCGTTATTGTGGATTTGCTTTTTAGACGCAATAAGGTTGTATTAGAGGAGACGAGATTTAATACATACATTTAAACTGCTTACGAATCTCTTTGCACATTTGGACACAGAAGAAGGAAGTCCTCCATTCGTGCCACAATGAGGAAACACACACACCAAGGCATGCAGCAAACATTACTTCCGCGCTGCTTAAAGGCAAAGTGGATAAGGTGTCTTGCCCAAGGACACAACGGCAGATCAATGGAGAAGGTCTCACGGTGAGTTCGAACCCAAGACCTTCAGGCTCAAAGGCCATTACTCTATAGCAACAGAGCCATTGTCGCCCTGTAGTAATAATACTAATGATAATGAATTGTGCGTTCATTTGTTTATAGTGACAGAGATGTGAGCAGGGAGTCCGCCTCACTCTCTCGTCCTGCTCCACCGTGATCCAGTGGCAAAACAAGGTCAAGACGGCCGGCGATGGGCAGGATGCAGAGGATGACGGTAGCATCTGTTGCACCTCGCCACGCTCTGTTGTGCTCTACAAAACATTGCAGCCTCCGCCTTCCAGCCAGTTGGGTCTATCATGGGTTCTCGTCCGCCCAATCCACCAGAAAACTGACCGATACACTGGAGGAGGTGTGTCCCATTGACGCTGGTGTGGAAGCAGCTCGGGTTGCCACCATATAGAGGTAGGTCATACACAGAGATACTATTTAGCCGTGCCATAACAGGTGCTATGGTCATGGGCCATGGCGAGCCCGGAAACGAAGGAGACTAAGGGGTGGTTTCATTTCCCCCAGAATTTCCACGTTCCCATGTAGAAACCTCGCCACTGGATGCAGTTAGAAGTCATACCCAGGACCAGTGAAAGTAATGGTCATTCAAACAACATAATTATTGATTAGTTTGATAAAGTCGGCCGATCATTCTTTCCATTAGTCGGCTTGTTGTTTAGATCCAGAACGGGCAGTGAATATATTTTATACGTTTGACCAAAAAAAAGCTCAAGTGATTCCCCTGGAGTAGGGGTCTCAAACCGGTTCCAGAAAGGGCCATGTGCATGTTTTACTTCCAACAGTTCCAAAATTAGAAGGAGCAGAGATGACTCCGCCCATTTCCTCAGGCGAGTCCAGTTTTAACCTGAAGATTTGAGGAAATGGGTGGAGTCTCTTGCTCAGTTTGGAACTGTTGGAAGTAAAACCTGCAGCCACATGGCCCCTTCTGGAACCGGTTTGAGACCCCTGCCCTGGAGAATAGAGGTGACTTGTTATACATTAAGCCATTGTAACATTATCAGCATGTGATTCTATGTAAGGATGAAAAAAACAATTAATTGATTACTAAATGAGTTGACTAACTATTTAATTATTATTACTGCATTATTACTTTGTAAAGTAACGCGGGTTATCTCGGAGGCTGAAGTGCTGACGTATTTTGCATTAAGCATCCAGCCTAGAACTCGCTGTGTGTCCATTTTGGTGTTATTTTGTTAGCATTATGAGCTTTCTGCTAAAGGCTGATGAATTTACACAAATTTAAGTAAGTAAGTAATCTTTATTTATATACCGCCTTTTCACTGCAGATCTGAGTCTCAAAGCGGTTTACAATTGTTAATTTTTGGGCATTTGTCTCTCACTCCACACAGAGATGGGAGCGGGGCCAGTACAGGAGGCACATGCTAGAACTATTGGACATATTTTTAGTGGTAGGGGAAACCGGAGTACCCGGAGGAAACCTACGCAGACACGGGGAGAACATGCAAACTCCACTCAGAAAGGCCCTGGTCCGACCGGGATTCGAACCCAGGACCTTCTTGCTGAGAGGCGAGAGTGCTATCCACTCAGCCACCGTGCCTCCGGCTTGCACTTTGAGAGGAACCTCCTTACACGCAAACACTTGAATCAGAAGTTGCCAGATGGATAAAGCTATGCAGTTGACTCCCTGTGTGAGCTATCAACGTGTGTATTTAATCTGCAGACTTTTTGACATTTGTTGAAAAACTTTCATTAGTTTATTTGACAGGGGCATTGTGCATTAACACATATTTCTGTAAATGCACTAGAATTAGCCATAAATAGACCATTTCTCATCTGCAGTCCCTGGACAGGTGTACATAGTCTCTCTGAATACAGTATAATAACATTTAAAGTCATATAATAATAAAATGCAGTAAAACACAGAATATAGAGAAGAGCAAGAAAAACATACAGCACATCAAACAGTATGAGCTCATAGACAACAAGAGATATTTACAAAGCCATCAGAAAAGCAGAGGCAGACACAGGCGAAGACCTAGACCAGGGGTGTCCAAACTTTTTAGTAGGAGGGCCACTCATGTTCACCGGACTAGTACAAGGGCCAATTGGGAGTGATGTGCTCATATGTATTAACACTGCATCAACACTGGTGCATTTTGGGACATGATTGAAAACAAGTTATAGTATATAAAGTAAATGGCTGAATTCCAAAGGTTCAGAGCTTTACAATGAGGAGCAGCATGAATATAAGATAAGATAAGAAGATTTATTGATCTCACACTGGAGAAATGTACATGTCACATTTGGCTCAGATAGAATCACTCAGATTGTGAAAAAGACAGAAGTGTGCAACATGTAAAAGGTTAAAAATATAGTCTGTGCAGGATATAATTATGTGGCAATAGCAGTGCTGTCTTTTTCAGTCCTAGTGACTTAAAGACCTTATGACGGGTTTAAAAAAAAAAAATAGTGGATATCAAAATTGCATGACAATGTCAATTTGAAAGAGATTCCGGCAAAAAAAATCCTATATTTTATAAAAAGAACGTGTTTTTCATGAATTTAAGTTGTCTATGCTCTAACCTGTGTGTGACGTCACAGCGGGTAACGCCCATGCATTGAAAACCATGGATCTATGCTACAGGACTGCCTTTTCTCTCTTCTCTCCACTGATGCCCAACACAATACTGCCCTCTACAGGTGACAATTGCCCACTACACATAAATTTCCGTTTTGAGTGTGAAAAAGTGTCCGAGGTGGGATTTGAACCCAAGTATCTGGATTGGCAGTCCATCGACACAACCACTGGACTATCTCAGTGACAACGAAATGTGACATTCTAGTATTTATCTTAGACTCGCTGTACACGGCCTTGTCATCTTGAATATCCGCGAAAAAAGAACTAATACCAAATTGTAAACAACTTACAGCGTTGAAACGTACCCGTTCTGACGTCACCAAGGGCTGTGAAGTTTTTTCGTTTCTAAGGGCGTTGCTATGGGGTTATTTCGATTTGGGGGGATCAGACAAAAAAAACAACTACTGATTTTGAAACCTTTAGTAGTTCTGTTCTAATATAAAATGGTATTAAATCTGTATTTCTAAATAAATCAAACCCGTCATAAGGTCTTTAATGTCTGACAGCAGTGGGGATATATATTGTTGGTGCTGAAGTTGGCTGAAGACTGTGAAAGTGCCTCAATGGATAGTTTGTATTAGCAAAGGCAGAGAGCCACATAGACTAAAACAGTGGGCCGCATTTGTTCCACGGGCCTTGGTTTGGCCATGCCTGACCTGGACTAATGGTTGCATGTCTGTTGTATTTTGAATAGTGAGTATGCTGTAATTTCAAAATACTGCTCTAGATTAAAGATGGTGAAACATGTTAGTTTTACCTTCATCTCCGCAGGTTTGTAGAAGCGCCGGTCCTTGTCCTCGTTTGCCGTGCGGTAACCGTCTCGGAGGAATCTCTTAAAACCGTACTTGCCCCGCAGCTTTCGAACTATCTTGTCGAGAGTTTGGCTGTAAAGGGCGTCATCGTCTACGGCAAAAGCAGGATAACTGATCGTTGGAAGCAAAGCAGCGTCTGTGTTCTGGAAAAGGAAAAGCATAAAACTGTTTAGGTCTGAGGAAGATTCAAAATGACATTGTTAATATAAAACATGTCAGTGTTTCCTCTTTAAAGGAGCAGTATGTAAAAAATGTGGCCAAAAGTGGTACTGCAGCCTCTCCCACTGTCCCTGACTCAGGTTGCCAGATATGCAGACGAATCCAGCTGGGACCATAACAGCTGAATAGACAAGAGTTTTGTCAACAACAAATCTATAACCAACACCTTTTTCACAAAGATAGAAATCCTGCTTTTATTCCTTGTATTGTCGTTAATGATTTGAGAATCATGACGAGACCTTTTTTAGTTCTGCGCCACATGGTACTTTACCAGTGAGATTAGCTCCACATGGTACTTTACCAGTGAGATTAGCTCCACGCGGTGAGTTCTGGCGCCCGGATCACAGACTTTCTGATTGGTGAAACGGTGGAGGGCGGGACATCGAAATGAAAACAATAACAAGATTTAGAGGCTGGAAAAGTAATTTAGAAATTCAAATATCTGTGAACGACTGTTATCAGTTAAAGAAGGATTGGAAAAGAACATGTTTTATTAATGGCTTTTGACAGATTAGGGCCCTTTAATGATGACTTGACATAAAAATCTTATATATTGCTACTTTAACCCTTTAATGTTCACTCCGAGAAGAAAGCAACATATTATTTTTTTCTCTAAGATGTAGGAGCACTAATAACACAAATATATATATATTTTTGAATCCCTTTTTTTTTATTACAAGCCTCTACCAAGTGGTTGAGATGCAGTTTGATGTAAAAGTGCCTAGAACTAAGTGAGATTCCCCAAAGAGGTAGAGGAAAGTATTAAAGGGTAAAGATAGTTTTGCATGTTTGGATACTATAAACACCGTCTGGAAAATAAGCCTTTAATTATTTAAACACTGCTTATGATCAGCACGCAAATTAAACTTGAATTAGAACGGATGCTTTTAACAAAACTTGACTTCATGTTATGCAAATGTTAGATTAAAGCTGCACTAACTGACTTTGGGATTTTGAAGCGGACTCACTGGCCTCTCTCTTTCTGCTCCCCTCCCCGCACCCACGAAGCTATCGCCCCCCACACACACCCACTGTTGGGACGGAGCTAGCCTCTCCCAATATGGATAATACATGGATATGGATTTTCACGTGGATGGCGTGACCATAGAACGATAGAACCGGGAAGCGCAGAGGAACGAGACTTTCTTTTGGATGGATGTCTCACTGTGTAAGCAGTAACTGGTGACGAAGACGAGAAAGTTTCAGGTTAGCTCCGCAGCTTGTTGTGCTAACTCAGCCGTCTATGCTAACGGACCTGTGGCTTTCTCACGAAAGTGGGGGCCAGTGGTCCGCTGTGATTGGTCACAATCTGCGACCCGAAACACATTCTCTTCCTTGTTTCATCAAAACTCGATCTAAAATATGTCACGCCAGCACAAATCTGCACTACTTTTTCTCCAAAAGGACGTTTATCCCAAAGCACTGCATGGACATGGATAGCATTTTCGTAATGAATACAAAAATAAAGTCAGTTAGTGCAGCTTTAAGTTATCATACTTTGCTTTTGAAACGTGCTTGTTGATGTCTCACAGGTGTAAATGTGTGGGAGGAGCTTGGAAACACATTCATTTATATTTTACTGTCAAGAGTGCCTTGGATTTTCTCTTTTATCATGTTTTTTCCACTGCAGCTTCAAATGCACTCACTGAATCACCCATTCTTCTTAAGCAATTATGGAAATGACTGAAGAATTCATTTCAATATTGCTGAATAAGAGTAGGTATGATATTTTAAGACGGTCCTGAAGTCTGTGGGTCTGCACGGATCCTGGTGAGCCACCCATTTCCTCTGCGGCTGATGGCTGCTGTTCTGCCCGTCACATTCAGCTCAGAGATGTAATCGTTTAAGGCTGAAAGCTGCAGGGAGGTAAAGGGAATGAATTTGCCTTTTACTTTGGACGTCCCATCGCCCACAGATCTACAACCACCTACATTAACATTTATCATCCAGCACAAGAGAGAAGCCAACGTGTGAGGCCAGTTGTATGAGCCTGCTTGGGCTTTTTAGCATTCCAATTGTTAATGCTAAAATTACAAATGTAAATCACATGGAAATTAGTAGTTTGGAAACAGTCGAGCACATTTATAATTGGGGTACATGTTGGTCCGTTTTGTCCCCATCAAAAAAGAACCAAACATGTTTAAAAGGTGCATGTAACAATCAAAGTCAGTCAAACACAAAGATGGTTGAACATTTCAGACGGCTGCCACAGAAAATAAAGCTTTGAAACAAACTCTTCTATGAAATGAATGTTGAAAAGTCATCATGTGTCACATACATATGTGACTGTTCCTTAAGAATAACGTGGTACACACAAAAGGGGGGTGACGTAAATCTATCCTCGATCATAACGACAGCACAAGGCGACTGAACTCGCCACGTATCATTGATTAACTAGAGATATTTGGTAAGAATTTTCTCTCATATTTGAAGATACATCCATCCATCCATTTTCTTCCCCTTAATCCATTTCTGGGTCGGGGGGTGGCAGTCAGAGCTGCACCCAGTACACAGAGCACCAGCCCCTCACTGATCCTCCTGCAGGAGCTGAGATCTTTCAGTGGGGGCTTCAGGCAAAGTGGGGTTAAGTGTCTTGCCCAAGGACACGACAGCAGTCATCAGTGGGAGTCGTGAAGTAGGTCTTGAGGTGGGCTCGAACCCACGACCTTCAGGCCCAAAGGCCAATGCTCTACCAACTGAGCTACTGTCGCCCTTCGTGTTTGAAGTTACATGAATAACTATATAAGTATTCAGTATACAGGTACTACTTTTTCCAAAGTAGCGGAATACTATGATACAAAATACATGTTATGCCACGTATGCAGTATTCTGGAACAGAAGACATTTTCAAAGTATTCTACCCAACCCTGAACATACCAGAGTATTGTACAGTCCCATTGGTGCAAGGACACAAAATACACAAGTAAAAGACCACACAGTATTACACAGTATTACAGTATTCCACAAAGTACATACAGTGACTAAAGTGCTAGTCCAGTGCAGATGAAGAAGTACAGTGCACTTGCACAAACAAAGTGGTAGTTTTAGAGATTTAGTTATGTCGAGTTGAGTATTTATTTTGAGTTCAATTTACAAGCAACACAGTGACCCCAACCAATCCCGACGCAGCACGTTAGATTTAGTTTTGTTTTGTTTTTTAACCAGACAATAACACATTTTCACTTGGTCAAATTGACAGTGTTAGTGTTTACATGCAAACTACTTACATACATGCACATCATAATCATTCGTGGCAGTAAAGTGTTAGAATTCAACATAACTAAAACACACACATGCATTAGAATTCAATAAAAGAACTTGCATGAGAGCGAGACTCCCGAGGCAGCAGCGAACACAGCGTTTGTCTGTTCCTGTTGTGGGCATCCAGATCCACAAATATCACGGACCATGAGCAGCCCTGCGGAAAAACACACACACAAGTGCACTTATTATCACACACACAACACACAAAATGATCGAGAGCCATTTCAGTAACACTGTCGACTTGAGGGCAATCAAAACCAAAATCTGATCACAATCTGTTATTGGAAAAACACGTCAAGCCGCCACACAGGGCAACTTTTATTTTAGTTTACAGCGTAGGAGGAGAAGACAAAATGGAGGCCCTTCAGTTTTGAACAAGTGACTCTCGTAGTGGGAGGGCTAACACTTTGCAGAGTACTTGCCTCGGAAAATGGTCACAACATTTCGCGCTCTCATCCAGTCCTTTCCATCAGCCTTGTCACTCTTACCCCCTTCTAAGCACTTTTTAATGCAACTCAAATGTATTATGCATCGCTGTTTCCAACACACAAAAAACAGGTCAGCTCGGCAGGAGGTTTTAGTCAAATCAGCAATGTTTTATGGTACATTACAGCGGATTGCGAGCCACCAGTGTGGGCAGCTGTCAGAATAGGGGACGATTCACTTCAACCTTTTCCAACGTTGCATCAGCAGAGAAACACGTATGAAGAGAAGTACTTTCTCTTTGCGTCAGCTCCACATTATTACTTTGAATAAGCTTGTAAAATGGCCAAGGGTGGTAAATGCTAGCTTTTTGACATTTGTTTTGTGTAGAAAGAAAAGTAGAGATGTGTGTTGCAGGCAGTAGACACTTGGACTTGGCGTTGTCGTTCAGTGTTGAATGATAAAAACGAAGGAAAGAAGGTCTGCAGTGAGAGTTGTCCTAATATATATTTATAAATTAACACGATTGAAGTGGACTTGGATATTATTGGATGCAAAGATAGTATTATAAGTATTCAAATCAAACTGTCTAAAGTATTAAAATCTGAATCCAAATGCTTTTTATTGGCATTATGTGTAAGAGGAAGTCACAAACTAAGACCGTTGTTTGGTATATAGTTATAAATAATAAAAACTAAAACACAACATACATATATATATATAGGCATTCATAATAAATCTTAGTAACATTCTTATATAGAAGTATAGAAAATAGACATTTAACGGTGCAGGTTATTTATTTTAGGTTTTAATGCTTTGGACCAGAGCAGAAAAAATGGTCTGAACCAAGCGGCTGCTCCACCTTGTGACCACCCAGAGGCTACTCCACCTCTGCTGCTGTGACCCGTCCTGCTCCACCCAGAGGCTACTCCACCTCTGCTGCTGTGACCCGTCCTGCTCCACCCAGAGGCTACTCCACCTCTGCTGCTGTGACCTGTCCTGCTCCACCCAGAGGCTACTCCACCTCTGCTGCTGTGACCCGTCCTGCTCCACCCAGAGGCTACTCCACCTCTGCTGCTGTGACCCGTCCTGCTCCACCCAGAGGCTACTCCACCTCTGCTGCTGTGACCTGAAGGCCTGTTGCTGATTATTACTATTATTAGCTTTTTAGAATGATTCATTTTTTATTCATTTTTTGCTGCTACTGGACACCTGTTTCTCTCCTACAGGGGATCAATAAAGTATCTATCTATCAGAAGGTGTATGATATTCTAAGGTTGCACTAATAGTAAGGTCAAAGCTGAACTCGACCTGACAAGCTTAACACATACATGTATTGCCAGTAAATTGTATATTAATAAACATGTACAAATGAGGGTTAGGTTGAGTCTGTTTTGATACTGCCACTATACAGTAACGAAACAGCAGTGATGAAATCCTGGCAGCTTCAAGAATAAAATCATAAAACTGGCCATTCATTGCACAAAATAATAAGTGTTAACCACCCTTATTATCAAACAGTATTCCTGCAATCCATCCAATAAATATTTCAAGATGCTTAATAATAATAATGCACTACTACTGTAGCCACAGCTGCCCTGGGGCACACTGACAGAAGCGAGCCAACCAGTCCGTGCCATCAGCCCCTCCCACCACCACCAACCATTCACACACACACCAGACTCATTCTAATGGGGGTGAAGTGTCTTGCCTAAGGACACAATGGCAGGCAATATACAGCCACAGCCGCCCTCACTGTGGCACCTGGTGTTCCCAGAGGTCTCCCATCACAGTTCTAACCAGGCCTTGTTCTTCTTAGCTTCAGATATCTGACAGGATCTGCCTTTCTCAGGTATATTCAACGATAAGCTTGATATTCTAATTTTTCACATGAGCAAAGCTACTTTTTCATGAACTCTTTTACCTTCTCATGCATCTCCTTGAGTGCACAGTCTGATCTCACACTAGACCAACCAAATAAAAAAACATATTTGCTGCAATAACTCCAGAGCCCTGTTTGTCTCCTCTTACGGGTGTGAATTAAACGACAAGTCCCAGAGAAGGCAGAGGAACCTGTGAGGATTTGATTGTTCAGCCGTGTTTACACAGCCCTGTGATTTTTAACGACAGGCTTTAAAAGCTCAAGGATTCTTCCCTTTGCGAGATCAATCTAACCAGCCGCGCTAAATCTGTCACAGGGAGAAGCCAAGAGATCATGGATACCAAATCTTGTGTTCACATAACTGATATAGCTTCCATTCAAGTGGCACAAAGGCCAATAGGCTCTCACCGTAGACGAGGCGCGAGACGTGATAGCAGGTTTCAGAAATAGCATCAGCTTTAAGACTTCTGGGGATTTGATGTTGAAACAAAAGAGCTATCAACAGGAAGATATAAAGAGTGATAGAAATCATTAATGAGCAAGTTGAACGGCTCGTATTGCTCTCATCCCCAACAAAGGGACAGCACGGATCATAACGCAGACACCTTTACCAAGTGCTCTTTCGACATGACTGGGTGGGGCGCCAGAATGTATCACCCTGCACATTCAAAGGCCTCATTTTAGAGATGATCAAAGTCGGCCAGACCTCCAATATACACTCAAACTAACAGCCCTATCCAAGCTGGTGAAAAACACTCCAGCCTCAAGTGCGTTATATAGGCTGAGAAAGCTATTCCTGGTGAACTGAAGGAGAGATAATAGGACAGGAGATGGTACAAGTGGTGAGATTCATTTTCCAATCCATTAAGAGGATTAATGAATGCTCTGGTTTCGCAGGAAGATGGAATAAAAGAAGAAAAAAAGGAGCTGGGACAGAACGCCAAGTCAATCTCAAGAGTTAAGCGTCAAAAACAACCACTTAGTGCTATTTGAGAGACTAATACAGGAGTTTACTTTTATATCTTTCATAACATTAAAGCACTTTGATTGTTGCTGTATTTTGAGAACATGGTTAACCCTAAATAAAATCTAGGGCATATAATTCTGTCTGAAGCCGGTGAAGCCGGTGAAAGGTACGGTGTGTGGGAGTTGTTTTGGCTCGGTACTGCAGATTTAACACTGTTTAATTCAGTTTTCAAACACGGGATGGCATAGTGGCACAGCGGTTAGCACTTGTGCCTCGCAGCAAGTAGGTCCCGTGTTGAGCTTGCATGTTCTCCCCGTGCAAACTCAACATGCATGTTTAGTTCTCCTGTGTTTATGATACAGAGAGCACAGGAGACCATGCGTTTCCAAGAGTTTTTAGGTGGAAGCCATTTATTTATTATGTGGTCATCCCTCTCCATATGTGTTTGTTGCATAGACTGTAAATATCGAAGGACGTAGTGACGCATGTATCTCTGCAGTTGAAACTAGTGCCACCACTTTCGCCAACTGGGGGCAGTTTCAAAATGGCCGCGGCGGCTGGAAAATGTGAAAAAACGCATTTGTGCATTCGTCAGCTGCACAAGCGCCATTCATTTAAAGAGTGCCTTCAACATTCCACAGTGACTAAACTAGACTGGTCCAAGTTTTGGACATTTTTGAGCCGAGACCCGCCCCCACTGGTTTGTTGGAACTGTTTGATTCTGAGGGCGACTGTGGCTCAGTTAGTAGAGGATCGGGCTTGATAGTGGCGGGTGTGATCCCCACACACATGATCTACATCTTCTTCCACTGATGTCTGCTGTCGTTGTGTCCCTGGGCAAGACAATCCCACTTGGCCAGAAGCCCCCGACCCAGAAATGGATTTAGGGGAGGACAATGGATGGATGGGATGGCTGTTTGATTCTCTGATCTGTTTGTAAAGTCCTCTGAGACGACTATTGCATGGTAAGTGGGTTTTTGTCATTTTGTTTTGTTATGTGTGTTATGTTGTGTATTGAATGTTTTGTATGTACATATTGTGAGTGTTTGGTGACTGTGTTGTCTGAATTTATATATAAATATATATATATATATATTTCTTTTTTAAATACATTGGATGCTGTTGTATTTATAAATACGTGACACACTAAAACCATGTGTTTTATGACCTGACTACCTCTGGGTGGGAGGCCAGTCCTTCTTATTTTATTTTAGGTGTCTTCTTGTGCCATCAACTAAATAACAGATGGTTTCTGCTGTTTGGATTTCACCCCTAGCCCTGACTTCTGCACTTTTCACCTCACTCCATCATGAGTCTGGCAGACGGAGGAAAAGACCAGACCAGACCAAGACCAGACCAGACCAAGTCCGAAGTGTATGAACTGGCTGATAGGACACGCCCCTCCTTCCTGTTCTTTTTATATGCTCTGGCTTGAGGCGGGGGCTGGAGAGTGAGCACAGGGCCAGAGAGGGACATGGATTAGTTTTAGGAGCTCTCTTTGTTGGAATTTCTGTATCTGATTGTAAGGAAATTAAATACAGATGTTAAACTTGGAGATCTTTTGTCTTACTTCTGAATCAACTCGAACACGTCAGTCAAAGGGAATTTTTGACATCAATGCCTAGATTTCCTATGTGTGGTCCGGTTTCCTCGGCCACTAGAACCAGTTAAACAGTACAATAGTCCAGGCTGAATGTGTGTTTAAACCCGGGAGAATAGACGGAAATTAATCCACGGCTACAAACTGGAGAGGTGTGTTCACTAACAAGCTCTCTGCCAACAAAGGAGTGGATTAGATGCATTTTTTGTGTGTGGCTGTAGCTTGTTTTTACCTGTTTGACGCACAAAATCCAGTGCCCTCTTACCACCAACATTCACACACATTCATTTAGAAAAGCTTGGGTGAAGTGTGATGCTAAAGACACAACTATCGTCTACATTGGAGCCATGAATCACAAAATCAATTATTAAAGGAGCAGTATGGAAAGTTCTGGCCAAAAGTGGTACTGCAGCCTCTCCCACTCTCCCTGACTCAGGTTGCCAGATATGCAGACGAATCCAGCTGGGACCATAACAGCTGAATAGACAAGAGTTTTGTCAACAACAAATCTATAACCAACACCTTTTTCACAAAGATAGAAATCCTGGTTTTATTCCTCGTTTTATCATTAAGGATTTGAGAATCAAAACGAGACAAGGTTAGCTTGTTGTGGTGAGTTCTGGCAACCCGGATCCTGGTCTTTCTGATTGGTAAAAGGGTGGAGGGCAGGACATCAACATTAACACAATTGCAAGAGGCTGTAAAACTAATTTAGAAATCCAAATATCTCTGAACTACTGTTATCAGTTAAAAAAGTATTGAAAAAGAGCAGGTTTTATTAATGCCTTTTGACATATTTCGCCCATTTAATGATCACTTGACATGAAAATCTACATATTGCTACTTTAAATGTATGTAAATGAATATGTTCTTAATGGTGTATACATAGATCACAACAGGTAACAGTAAAATAAACATGGACTCTAGAGTGCGCAATGGTAATAAAAAGATAATACTCATAACACCTAATCCATTCTTCAGGAAGTAGAACAGCGCATGCATTGTGTTAACGTACAGAGTCTTGTGTCTCGGTGGACTCTGAAACACAAACTAGGCCGTCTATCTGCACAACGGTACTAAAGAGTGACAAAATTAGACAGGACCAGAATGTATGAGCGACTTGGGACCCCTTAAGAAGTAGGTGAATTATTTAAGTACCTGGTTGCCAAACAAGTTGAATCCATTGATGGCCTCCAGAGCAGCTTTAGCCAGCCCCACAGAGCTGCGGAGACAAAATGGCACACACCACTTCAGTGATTTATTGCAACGTCATATTCTTGTTAGATGAAGACAGGAATAGGCTAGTGGATATATTTAGACTCTGGGATATTACTTGAATGAGGAACGGATTTTTGTCTGGGAGAGGTTTTTCATTTATTCAAATTTTAAATCAAAAAGTGGAGAAACACGGACGTAACAGAGAAAAAAGACAAAAACAATAACATAACATTGATAATAATGCACATACATGTACACATATATACCTTATTACATATTCATACATACAGTATACATATACACAAAAGGGGGAATGGTTGGGGGGGTGTACAGAGTTGGGAGAGGTTATCATTTATTACAAATATGGAATCCAAAAGTGAAGATAAGTATGGACATAACAGACAATAAAAGACAAAAACAATAATAATAATAATACAAAAATAATAATAAACATTCATGTACACATATATACACACTTACATACACTCAGAAACACACATACATATACACACTTACATACACACACACACACATACATACACAATGGGGGGGTGTACGGAGTTAGGAGAGATTTTCTGAAAATTGTGGCATCTTGACAACGTTTTTTTTTTTTTACTTTAACCAGTGATTTGTTCAAGAGCTATAGTTACTGACTGCAGTACAGGTTATAGAGCATTTTGAGTTATTACGGGGGCTAGAAGAAGAAAGATCCAGGGAGTAGCGAGTAGCAGGCCGACTTATCAAAACATTTTCAATATCTTTAGCAAATGCAAAATAGAATCTTAAATACAGAGGATGGCAGCACCGCTTGAGTCATTTGAAGCAGGAGCAGCTCACAGTAGTGGCCTGCAGAACTGTCAGCTGTTCACAGAGAGAAAAACAAACAGTGTGGAGAGAGGAGACGGGAGGTTAGGAAAATAGGAAAGAGGAGCAAAACAGTGGCGTGATGCAATAGTTGGCGTTGACAGGTGGAGACGGAGAATGGCATGATGAAAATGTTGCTGGAGAAAGTTTATCTCAAGGTTTTAAACAGTGCAGTGGTGTTTTTTAGTTTACCAAAAGGATGTTTTTAAACTATTGTCTGCTGTGTATGTGGAAAAGACCTAGGGCTGGGCGAGCTGGGGAAAATAAAGAATCAACATTTCCCCCCATCTTGACCATAGACTGTAAATATTAACCAACGCGGTGACACCTATCTCCGCCGTTGAAAGTAATGTGCCATCACTGTTAGACGGCACTAGCCCCATTCATTTAACGAGTGCATTGAGTCCACAGCGGCTAAACTAGACTGGTCCAAAAAATATACTGTCCTCAGCATTGACAGCATCTGGAACATAGCGTTGGGCCAAGAACCGACTTTTGGACCAAGCCGTTTTCTAGAGGAAAGAAGACGCATACAAAAGCATTGGGCAATTCTTATTCCGGGTACACCCCCACCGGCCCGGATAGGTTTTGCAGCATGTCAGCGTACGTGCCCCTAGACTTTTTAGAGCTGGGACCCGCCCACACTAATTTTGACACAGGACGTCCACCCTGAAGTTACCATATGACTGTAATCTCTCTTAATCTCTTAATAACAGATTATGAAGTAGTATTATCCTAAATCTAGTAAAATAATCTTACATGACAAACTAAATTCACCCAAAAAAGTGCTTAAATTATGCTTTAAAAATAAGCATAATCTATGTTATTTTTAGTAAATAAATCTTACCAAGATTTTACTTTGTTCAGTGTTGGCCCCTGTGTATCTGTGATCCTCTCGTCAGAACAGTGAGGTGTGGAACTGTGGAAGAGTGATCTCTGTACGTCAGATCAGCTCCTTCATTGGAGGTTTTTAAATCTAGACTAAAAACTCATTTTTACTCCATGGCTTTTAGAACAAAATGAGTTTTATCCATCCATCCATTTTCTTCCCCTTAATCCATTTCTGGGTCGGGGGGTGGCAGTCAGAGCACCAGCCCCTCACTGATCCTCCTGCAGGTGCTGAGTCCACAGGAGCCTCGAATATTCAGCAGGGGCTTCAGGCAAAGCGGGGTTAAGTGTCTTGCCCAAGGACACAACAGCAGCAGACATCAGTGGGAGCCGTGAAGTAGGTCTCGTGGTGGGCTCGAACCCACGACCTTTGTGCCTGTGAAGTACTTTGCGCAGCTGGTGTTGTTGTAAATATAATACACAAATCAAACCGACACTGACATTGACATGAACGTCCCCTTTTCTACACAAACAAATGAATGAAAAGATGAATTGAAAACACTTTTGCCGATTTCCCAAAGTGCAAATGCATGTTTCGTACTCTCTCATTGACGGGGCTCAGCAGTTATCTTCCAGGGCGTCTTAGCCGTTGCCAATAGCTTTGAATTGGGAACAAACATGCTTCAGAGATAAGCATGGGAGAAATGGAGGATCTTTATCGCCAAAACTGAGAGACGAGAAAAAGAAATGACCTTGAGGCAGGTGTGGTGCTTTGGGAAAGGGATTCTAACTTGGGATCTAATTATAAAGTATTGTTTTATAGTAATACACATACATCAATTATTGTAGTTATATATAAAAAAATCTGACAGGACATCAAAAAACCTCATTGTTTTTATAATTGTATTGTATGTGTGTATGTTGTGTTTGTATGTAGCATTTTTTTTACAAAATGATAACATGTGAGGTCATAATTGCTTGAATAGTGCTGTTTTTATTTTAATCTGAGCACATTCTGACTGTGTTAAAACAGTATTTGCCAACGGGAGAAGCATTTTGTATTAATTCAAGAACGCCTGCTTTATTTTCTCATTCTAAACGAGACATTTCTTGCATCTTTCTAAAACAGGATAATTTTGCTTTTTCAAATTGGCAAATCTAGTTTTAAGGCTCAGGCAAAACGTGCTCAAACTAAAAGGTAAAAAGGAGGATTATCCCAAATTTGAGGAAAGAACTGCCCTCTCATCTTTTTGAACTAAACTCTCTGGTCTGATTGGACGAGCATGTATCACCAGAGTGATTGACAGTTGGGAGGACCAATAGTCTTGATGATCCACCCGGAAGTAGAACATCCTCCTATTTACCTTTAAGATACATTTAGCCAAATTTAATATTTTTTTTCCACATATTTTTCATAACTTTTTGCAGTGTACATTTTGTAAAATCAACAATTCTTTGAGCTCATTAAAATGTGTGTAAATACAGATTTTTATGTTTTCTTTTTTGTGTTGTCCTGGACCGATGTGTGTTTGTTTGTTATGTGTGATGAAATTAAACAACAACAAATAAATACTAAATAACAAACCACTGCAGCCTAATGCACAACAGTAAAATTAGGGAAACTGGTAATTGCATCACAGAGAGTGCACACATATATTCAGGCTTTTTTCCGCAAACACTATACTGTTCTGCGCCACATGGTACTTTACCAGTGAGATTAGCTCCATGCGGTGAGTTCTGGCGCCCGGATCACAGACTTTCTGATTGGTTAAAACGGTGGAGGGCGGGACATCGGTCAGTAAAACCAAGTATTTCTGAACGACTGTTATCAGTTAAAGAAGGATTGGAAAAGAGCATGTTTTATTAATGCCTTTTGACAGATTAGGGCCCTTTAATGATGACGAGACATGAAAATCTCACATATTGCTACTTTAATTAAACCACCAGCTCTGTTTCCTTGGATCATTAAGAACATTTCCACAACAAAGTACATACAGCTTATACATTTACCTTCTGTGTAACATGTGGTGAATCTTTTAGTACCGTGACGTGCAGTTTCATGCCGAATTGTTTTATTATTGGACTGTCTGCTGGCTTATGGCGCTGTGTGTCATCTGCCCAAGACGATTCCGTGACGCAGTGTAAGCTCATCCTAATGCCATAACTTGACTCTTCCTTTGCAGCAGGATTGAAAGCTCCTTACTTTGCAATCATGTACAATACAGCGCAGAGCTTTGCCACGTTATTGGTTTAACTCACTTTTTCTCACAACTCCTCCGCACATCTTCCACAACAGCAAAAAGCCAAATCCAATCCTCAAATGCTGGAGATAATAAATAGCTTTACACACAATAGTGGACCTTTCACTATATATGAAGCTAAAATCCATTTCTTCTCCGACGAGCTGCTCCCGGTCGGGCCCAAAGCCACAAAATACCAAACAACACTCAGCCTGATGTTTTTTCTGCAATCTCCAGCTCTAAACCTCAGCAGTTGTGTTTCCAGAGTGCAGTTAACATAGCTCTGACTAATACGAGAAATGGATTTGAGGGCCTAAGCACTTTCTATTTTCATTTGCGATCTATAAGCGTTCATAGAAAAAGTTGAATATGTTAGAATCACCTGGAATGAAGCTCAGTGCTGCCATTGTTGTACTTGCTTCCTCGCTCCCACATCCCGAAGTCTGGGACGCGGTAGGCCCTCTCCACGCAAAAGACCAAGTTTTGAATAAAAGATACCTGAAAATGCAAAATACACATATTATGGATGCTGTCAGTTCCAGGCAGTGGCCCTGGGTTTATAACTGTGGCTGTGCGAGGAATAGAAGCTAATAGGAAAACACCACAACAACAAAAACACTGTAAGGAATGTTCAATTTGGTTACTATTTGTTATGGAAACACATTTCACAAATATTCCAGCGTTGCCATTTCCTGGATGACTGATAGTAATGAGAACACACTTTGGTTTTTGTTATTATTATTCGTTGAATTTAGTATTTTAAATGGCTAAGTTGTGTCAGATTGCTTGTTTGAATTGTGTGTCTCACTGGGCCGGATGTCATCATAGAACTTCCCAACTTTGCATCAAACCCCTCCCACCACCACCAACCATTCACACACACACCAGACTCTTTCTAGACCATGTTTGTGAAGTGTCTTGCCTAAGGACACACAACAGCATTTGGCACTTTACAGCTGCAGCCGCCCCACTGTGGCCTCTGGTTTTTCCTAGAAGTCTCCCATCACAGCACTAACCAATCCCTGCCCTGCTTAGGAGGTCTGATGGGATCTGGCTTCCACCTGCAGGTACGGCCTTAAGTTATTCAGCATACGTTCTATAGGAGAGGAATGTATGCTTAAAATGGTGAATGCCAAACCTAAAAATCATAAACAGAATATGATAAATGACGCAGTATTATATATATTCTGTATACTATAAGTGACATTAGGCGTATAGTTACAGCTCCACAATAATAAACCATAATGACCTTTGGTATTGATCAGCGGTGAAGACAGTAACCCGCAGTCCCATTACAGAGGTGAGTAAAGCAGACACAGCAGCACAGTCCTCATCAGCTGAAGGGCAAAGCTACCTCGAAAACACGGCTTTAATTAATGACCTGTTTGAAAGGGTCTGTTTGGATTGAGGCTTATCGCCAACCTTTAAAACGCGTAAGTCGTACCCTTGACAGATGAAAAAAGTTCTCTTGGATTGTCTCCGCAGTAGATTAAAGATCGCTCATGTTCAGTTTTAAATGGCCTTTCATTTGAGAGAACTAAACATTCAATTGATCAAAATGTGCTTGGAATCATTATAATACTACTATGAGTGTCACCATGTGTGTGTGTGTGTGTGGGCTGTGGTGGAATGTTAAACGTTTCTAGTTCAGTTTCTGTGCGGCGTCCATTAGTTTGCATGCGGAGAACAGGCCACGCTTGGATTAGCCAGGCTCGTAGCTGCTGGTATTAAACACAGAATCTGCAGTGTAGATGGTGTGCATAAACAAGTGCTGTTCCCTGCGGCACACCAGGGCGGCTCATCCTGGTCTCCTGAGATGAACCGTGGCCTGTGGGAGAGGTGATCCACATACTACTGCAGATGAATGTACCTCCATCCTACTGTACGTGTGTCAAGAAATGTTATGTGTATTATCATATTAATAAATGTGTGTAGGTTAGATTAGTCTAGTGAAGTTAACCAACTAATGCATTAAGGGTGGCGAGAATGCAGAATTCTCCCAGCCCCCAGGCAAGAGTGAAAGAGCATAAGTAAACAAGAGCAGAGTAAACAAGCATGAACCAGAAAACATCTGTGTTGAGACAAGAAGACACTTCTGATGGATGAGATTGTTTTCTAACCTAGAGTGCAAGGCCTAACTTTCAGCGTGGTCTGTCGTCCGCAGCAGACCCAGGCTCTTCTCTCTGCCTGTCTTTTATATGTATTCTGTTTTATATATTAAACCTTCTTTTATATCTATCTAAGTTTATAATTTCCTTCCTTTTCATCGGGAGACTGTTTAAGGAAACCTGGCAGAACTAGCATAACAACGTGCCTCACTCAGCAGCACAGGGTTCATGGTGTTGGACTCGCTGGAAAGTCAAAGATCTTTACTGAGGTGTCTGGGATTCCCAAATGTGCCTTGGTCCAAATAAGGGCATCAGCCACGGTCATATTTGGGCAACTGTTTCCCTCATCGACAAAAGTATAAATAAGAAAAAAACCTTAATGTGTAGACCGTATACAGTTATATCACAACTTTGCTTATAGATTTTAGATGTGTAAATTACCCCAAAAAAATGAGTACAATCAATACATTAAAATATAAGATTGTAACATAATAATATTAATGGGCGGTAATTGCTCAAAGTAAAATGTTTTGAATACTGCGCTAGCCTGGTCTTACCACAGCATCATACTAATTTCATTTCATACTAATGTCTGGATTTGCTCCACTGACTCCGTTAACAGGTGGGAGGGGTTAACTCCTTTTGCAGATGGAAACGATTGGATCTGAGTTTACCGTGACGTATGTAATGAGCTCGAATGAGTGAAGCATTTAGCATTTATTCTAGCTTTTTAGCATTTAGCCTAGCTTTAGCCATCTCCTTTGCCGCTAACGGAGCCCGTGGGGAGTAGCGCCACAACATTTTTGCCTCAATCACATTTGCTAAACATTCCTCTTGCTGCGGCTTCAATTTCTTGATATTTGCAGTCAAACCAGAACAGATTACTTTACTATCACATTACCCGCCATTGACAAACTACAACCGGCAAATTCGGCGCAAACTTTTGATGTCACCGACACCGACCTACAACACCCGCCTCCCCCGCTCTCTGATTGGTCGGAGGGGATTCAACCGAGGAAACTGCAGCCAATAGGATCAGACCCAGACGTACATGTAGGAAATGACCATGGACCAGAGTTTACACATGGTAAGACCAGACGTACATGTAGGAAATGACCATGGACCAGAGTTTACACATGGTAAGACCAGACGTACATGTAGGAAATGACCATGGACCAGAGTTTACACATGGTAAGACCAGACGTACATGTAGGAAATGATCATGGACCAGAGTTTACACATGGTAAGACCAGACGTACATGTAGGAAATGACCATGGACCAGAGTTTACACATGGTAAGACCAGACGTACATGTAGGAAATGACCATGGACCAGAGTTTACACATGGTAAGACCAGACGTACATGTAGGAAATGACCATGGACCAGAGTTTACACATGGTAAGACCAGACGTACATGTAGGAAATGACCATGGACCAGAGTTTACACATGGTAAGACCAGACGTACATGTAGGAAATGACCATGGACCAGAGTTTACACATGGTAAGACCAGACGTACATGTAGGAAATGACCATGGACCAGAGTTTACACATGGTAAGACCAGACATACATGTAGGAAATGACCATGGACCAGAGTTTACACATGGTAAGACCAGACGTACATGTAGGAAATGACCATGGACCAGAGTTTACACATGGTAAGACCAGACGTACATGTAGGAGATGATCATGGACCAGAGTTTACACATGGTAAGACCAGACGTACATGTAGGAGATGACCATGGACCAGAGTTTACACATGGTAAGACCAGACGTACATGTAGGAAATGATCATGGACCAGAGTTTACACATGGTAAGACCAGACGTACATGTAGAAGATGACCATGGACCAGAGTTTACACATGGTAAGACCAGACGTACATGTAGGAGATGATCATGGACCAGAGTTTACACATGGTAAGACCAGACGTACATGTAGGAGATGACCATGGACCAGAGTTTACACATGGTAAGACCAGACATACATGTAGGAAATGACCATGGACCAGAGTTTACACATGGTAAGACCAGACGTACATGTAGGAAATGACCATGGACCAGAGTTTACACATGGTAAGACCAGACGTACATGTAGGAGATGACCATGGACCAGAGTTTACACATGGTAAGACCAGACGTACATGTAGGAAATGATCATGGACCAGAGTTTACACATGGTAAGACCAGACGTACATGTAGGAAATGATCATGGACCAGAGTTTACACATGGTAAGACCAGACGTACATGTAGGAGATGACCATGGACCAGAGTTTACACATGGTAAGACCAGATGTACATGTAGGAGATGACCATGGACCAGAGTTTACACATGGTAAGACCAGACATACATGTAGGAAATGACCATGGACCAGAGTTTACACATGGTAAGACCAGACGTACATGTAGGAAATGATCATGGACCAGAGTTTACACAAGGTAAGACCAGACGTACATGTAGGAGATGATCATGGACCAGAGTTTACACATGGTAAGACCAGACGTACATGTAGGAAATGATCATGGACCAGAGTTTACACATGGTAAGACCAGACGTACATGTAGGAGATGACCATGGACCAGAGTTTACACATGGTAAGACCAGACGTACATGTAGGAAATGATCATGGACCAGAGTTTACACATGGTAAGACCAGACGTACATGTAGGAAATGACCATGGACCAGAGTTTACACATGGTAAGACCAGACGTACATGTAGGAAATGATCATGGACCAGAGTTTACACATGGTAAGACCAGACGTACATGTAGGAAATGATCATGGACCAGAGTTTACACATGGTAAGACCAGACGTACATGTAGGAAATGATCATGGACCAGAGTTTACACATGGTAAGACCAGACGTACATGTAGGAGATGACCATGGACCAGAGTTTACACATGGTAAGACCAGACGTACATGTAGGAAATGACCATGGACCAGAGTTTACACATGGTAAGACCAGACGTACATGTAGGAAATGACCATGGACCAGAGTTTACACATGGTAAGACCAGACGTACATGTAGGAGATGATCATGGACCAGAGTTTACGGATGGCTAAGGCGTGGCTAGCATTACACGCACAATAACACCAGTGTAGTATGAATGACAGCTCTGTGCATACGCGAGTGGTTCTCGAAGGGGCAAACCCTGATCGACCTCTTATCAATCATCATCGCACATTTGGCTCATATTGCATTATGGCAGGTATTATCAAATCATATTCTGCGCAGCGCCAGTGTCTGTGGCTTGAAGAGCGATTGAAATGCAGGGTTTGAACAGACCTTGGAGACATGTCCAAATCAATAGGGACATCGGGAAACAAGCCGAAGGGGAGAGACTGCGAACGTATGATGACTTAAAGCCTTGAATGATTAAAAAAGACCTGGAAGTAGCTGTACTTGTGTGTGCGTGCCTGACTGATGGGTAATTTAATCCAAAACGACAAAGCAGGAGAGAGCGATGAAATGAGAGATGAGGAAGGAAAGGGGCACTATGGAGATAGCGGGAGGGGCTGTGGGGGAGGTAAATAGGCCATTCTGGAAGAGGACAGGGAGGGAGAGAGGGAGGGAGGAGAGAAAGGTGTTTGCCTCAGCTTCATTTTGGGGTTTTATGAGAGCAGTGATTAATGAGAGGAACTTTTTAGTATCTTAATGGTATCTTAATGAATGTGACTTCCCACTGGCTAAATGGATCCATCTTTCTTCGCGCTACTAGAATATTCTCTCAACCTAAGTGTGGACAAATTGGCCAAGAAATAACAGCATCTATAGTGAATACATTTTAGAACAGAAAACCATTTTACGGTGTTAACCTAATCTATTCTCACACATGGAGATTTGTACTTTTATTCTCAAATGAAAACCAATAACATTCTTCTATGGTAATGTCATGTACTTCGTGTGTGTGTGTGTGTGTGTGTCTGTGTCTGTGTCTGTGTGTGTGTGTGTGTGTGTGTGTGTGGTCCAGGGTGATAACAGCGTATACCTGCGCAACAAGGAGAAAACACATGCAGAGACACAGGCTGCTAATGAGATGCTTCATTTCATGCTGCACAGAACTGCAAATGGCATCTCGAAGGAGGTCGATAGTGCATCTTCTCAGAGGACAAACAGCCCTCCTATAGCACCCCAAGAAAAATACTGCAATGCAGCTTCCAGCTCGGCTTCATGCACGCCGTCGGACTTCACAAGCAGTGACAGCTTACAACACGCCGATAAACCGTGCCGTAATAATGCGATTACTTTGGCATTTCAACAGTCATTCCCAATCAGAAGTCTGCGTGTGTACAGTGGGCGATAGAAGTGGGAGGAATGCAAAGAAACCACTTCAGTTTTAATTATGCAATGTAATAATCAGGGGTTTTAATATGCAAATTAAGCCCACCGCATAAATAGGCCTGTCCTCATGTAAAGTTACTCTGTCAGTTTGTTCTGCCATTGGGGGCTGAGAAATTGAGAAAAATGAGAGGTTATTAAAAGGCTTTTGGAGTAAACAAAGTCAGGCTTGTGCTGATGCATTGGTTGTTGGTGTAATGCCTCCTCTGCTCTGCCTCTATACCAGGGGTCGGGAACCCAAAATGTTCAAAGAGCCATAATTGACAAAAAAACTAAAAACAACATCTGTCTGGAGCCGCAAAAAAATAACAGCCTTGTATAAGGCTTTTATGAAGTTAACACAGGCTGCAAGATGTATTAGCTATATTAGCCTAATATCTAAATGACAAAGTAAAGGCTACAAATACATAATAATCATTCATGATTATCAAATGTGTATTTTCACTGCAGCGTGTCGTGAATGACGCAACACGGGACAACTCTGCTTTAGTTTAACTTCCATTTTTTTGCCTTCATGCAATTATAGAAATACAGTAAATAAATCTGCTTTGGGCTCAGAGGTCACATACCTGCATCACTGTCTGCTCATATCCATCACGTCACAGGCTGAAGTTTGCTGGAGCTGAATTAAAATCCTTAATGGCCGTTTCTTTCACCATCTTTGAGAAGGTTTTGAAGTCTGAAAATAGGTGCTCTGAATTTTTGATGAATGAATCCTTCACGTAATCACCGTTTACAGTGTTTTGCGCGTCATTGTTCCTCGTGTTGCAACAAAACTTTTCATTACAAACATGAAGCAGTCCTTCCTCATTGACTGAAAGAAAATGTTCATTCTCATTCTTAGTCCAGTCTTGTTATCGACTCTTTCTCGTTTTAGCTTTGGGATCCATGCGCACCTACAGTCTATCATGCACACACGCCGGTTTGTTTACAGCAGCGGCCGCATGGGGCGGGGCTGCGTGACGGCGTGTCATAGGATATGACGCGCTACGTTGACAGAAATGTTGAAATTAGATATTACTTATACATATTTTTACAGCATTTAAAAACGTAAAGATTGTTTTTCCTTCTACAGAAACCACATTCAAACTAGAAATAAAATATAGCCCTCACACTCCATTTTCAGACATTTTTGAAAAGGCTCCAGGAGCCACTCCAGGAGCACTCAAGAGCCGCATGCGGCTCCGGAGCCGCGGGTTGCCGACCCCTGCTCTATACCTAGGCCTAATCTAGTAAATAAACAAATGGTCTTGGTTTACCAGTAGCATACGTTTCTCTGTGGCCCTAAGTGGTGCTGTGAACGATTTGACTATAAAACCAACAGAATTAATGAAGTTGAACTGCTCCTCTGGGCTGCACAGTAAAAACAAGCGTTACAGCCGTAGCCTTGTTTAATAACGATGTGTACAAAGGACTAATGGATTCCAAAGCTCGGCCCTAAAACCAGACTTGTCAAATATCTAAAAAAAACAGTTAAACTCCTTCACAGAAATGTTAACTTTTTATGGGGAAAAATAAATAGAAAGAGAGCTTTAAAGGTGCTTAGGGATTTTGTATGTGCTGTTCTGGGATGACTGAAGGGGATTTAGGTGATGTTTTAATGGCTTTTCGAAGCACTTCAGACTGACACTTTTTGAGGAAGTGGTGTCACATCATTCCCTCTGCCAAGGAGGTAATGTGATCGCACACATTTGTTGGCCTGTCTGTCTGTCCTTGTGTCTGACAGCCAAAATATGCTTAACTGCATCTGTGCCGCTCATGAAGCCTGTTGCAAGGATAGTGCTATGAACATACAGAGATAAGTACTTGTTAGGCAAAGTGGGTAAGTTTCCATTCAAGATTCGCAATTGTTACTTTTTTGGCAATAAATGCAAATTAAAACTGACCGTGAGCGATCTGACCAGTTAGATAAATAGATCGATAGTTTATTGATCCCCGTAGGAGAAATTCATGTGTCCAGTAGCAGCAGAAACACCTCCATCCATACAAACAAAACAGATAAGTAGCTAATTCAAAAAGTGCGGGACGAGATCAGCTACATAATGCATTAATAAACAGTATGTATGGCACATTTTACACATCAGGCTGACAAAACGCTTCATATATACACAATACATTGCAGACAACGGAAAAAAACTGTGCAAGAAAAAGTCAGTAACCAGAAATCAATCTGTCTAGATACAAAGAAGCGGACTAGAAAGAGTTCAACCACTTTGAAGGGATGGATCTGTTCCACTGTAAATATATTCAAAATAGTCACGCCTCTCTACGCCGTTGAAACTAATGTGCACCACTATTGCCTTCTGTGGCCGTTTTCATAATTTGCGCATGCGTTAGCCGGCAATAGCCCCATTCATTCAACAAGTGCATTCAAACTTCCACAGAGACTAAACTAGACTGGTCCAAAAGTGTTGGTCCAAGAGCGACTTTTGAACCATCCTGTAAAGCCGTTTTCAAGAGGTAAGAAGGCGCCATACAAAAGCATTCGGTAATTCTCTTTCCAGGTACACCCCCACCAGCCCGAAGTGAGATTGCAGCATCCCGCCCCGCCCCAAGGGGTATTGAACCACACATTTAAACTAGGTTAAACAGTGAGAGATATGTGGCTTTCTTGTTGTCTATTTAAACACCAAATAAAACATGCCATAAATATTCTTTCAAAGTGACCCTTTTTATATGGGATCCTACAGAGGGAGGAATACTACCTCTTTCTCCAACCAGTATGGCAGCAAGCAAACCTCCTGCTAAACTCTCAAGAGATGTTTTGCAAATAGGCTGAAAATATCAAACCAATAAGTCAGGCTGGGCGCTAATCCATGTGTGCACCATCGATTACTCCAGCAGACTTTGTGGAGGTGTTGTTTACCTCATCAGTGTTGTAAATGATCTGCAGGCCCGAGCATATCATCTCCACCAGGTAGAGCAGGAACAGGGACACGGCATCAATCTACAGCCAAAGAAAAGACTGTTAGGGGACATCACAGCCAAAGAAAGGAGAGCTCTAAATAAGGTGAGCTCTGAGACCAGAGAGAGACCAGAGAGAGACCAGAGAGACCAGAGAGAGAGACCAGAGGGAGACCAGAGAGAGACCAGAGAGAGACTAGAGAGAGACCAGAGAGACCAGAGAGACCAGAGAGACAGACCAGAGGGAGACCAGAGAGAGACCAGAGAGACCAGAGAGAGACTAGAGAGAGACCAGAGAGAGACTAGAGAGAGGCCAGAGAGAGACCAGAAAGAGACCTGAGAGAGACCAGAAAGAGACAAAAGAGAGATACTGCTCTACAAATAATCAATGACTCTTCTGGCCCCTGGAAAAGCCATGTTCCAGCTTCTTCCCTCTGGCAGAAGATATCGTTCGCTGAGATGCAGGACATCTTGTTTTGCTAACAGTTTCTTTCCACAAACTTATCAGTTTAAACAATTGTTTCATGTTTTGATTGTTTTTTAATTTCTGTTTTATTCATGCACTCGTTTTGTGCACACTGGGGACTTCTGCGAATGCATGTGGTTTTACTGCAAATGGATTCAGTTTAATTGTATTTGCTGCGATAGACACACCACTAGTTATCAGTTGGTCAATAATAAGATAGGTTATTGACCAACTGATAACTAGTGCTCTTCTCTTCTTTACTGTTAATGGACTTCAACTTGGACCAAACTTGACACTTGAGGGAGCCTTATTTGACCTGGGAGGGGTTTGCTTATATTCAGAAGGTGTATACAGTCTGTAGTTTAATGGTGCAATGTAAAACAAAAAACATATCAGCAGACAAACTTTCCAAATAGTCACCTTGGAAAGTAAATGAATCTGTCTGACTCATATCCATCTGGTCTTGCACCAATTTCTATGCTTGTCCATTTCTTCCCAGAAACTGTTCATTTCATAGATTTATTTTGGACATACTGCATGCTCAAGTTATGGTCTGGATTGTTGATACACTGCCCGGTGTTGTGCCACTGTATTCCACCAATAACATCTACGTTACAGTTTCATGGAATGGTGTCAGCTTGGGTCAACAATTCAGCAGCGAGAATCTCCCTTGGCATTTGATTTGCAGTGTCAACACAAGCATATGGGCAATATTAAAAAACGGCCAAATTAATCTCAGGGTGTGTGAAAGATGAGATGTACATAACAGATATAGGATTAACTAATGCAGTGTCAGTTATAATTATTATTATTAAGTTATACATGTATGTGTGTGTCTTGTGACTCATCCAAAATACTATAAGACCCCAGTGCTGAATGTATTCGGGGTCATTCTGCTAATCCAACTAGTCAGGGACCCGGGCTATGTTTAGTCTGTATTCGTATGTTATTCTGTTTATATAAATTAAACCTTCATCCATCCATCCATTTTCTTCCCTTTAATCCATTTCTGGGTCAGGGGGGTGGCAATCAGAGCTGCCACCCAAGTCTCATAGCACCAGCCCCTCACTGACCCTCTGCAGGTGGTGAGTCCACAGAAGGACGGCTGCTCTCTGAGTGTGAGCATAGCCTTGATCTTTCAGTGGGGGCTTTGGGCAAAGTGGGGTTAAGTGTCTTGCCCAAGGACACAACGACAGCAGTCATCAGTGGGAGTCGGTGGAGAAGGTGCAGAGGTGGGAATTGAACCCACGACCTTCTGGCCTTAAGGCCAATGCTCTACAAACTGAGCTACTGTCGCCCCCAAATTAAACCTTATTTTTTAAAATCTAAGTCTGAGCTTCCATTCACTATCTATAAATGTTGTTGTATTATCCTCCAAACTCAGCATCTCTTGGTCCTGAAGGTGAACCAATACTCTTAAGTGGATAGTTCACTCGGTTATTGACCTCTGGCCAGATTCTTTCCACACAAAGATTCTGTTCAAAATAAAAACATTTTATGTCATACACACAAAGTCAGCCCACTATGCTCTACACCAGGTCTAAACCAGTTCCAAACTAGAACAGGGTCTAAATTAGTTAAGAGTTAGTTACTAAACCTTTGAGTCCGTTTGTCCTGGTGGGAAACCCAGTTAGACATAGATTATTTACCACATTAACCCTCAAAAGACATGATCCTGTATAACTTTGTGACATCCTGCAGTCTTCTTTGACCAAAACAGACTTTCTGCTACTTTAAATATAGCATAACAAATCCAATTTTTAAAGAGGTTGTATATTCGGCTCTGACAAGTTCATTTTCACAACAAATTAATATGTCAAGATGAAGAGAAAAGCAATTTAAACAGGTGACACTTAAAAATCAAACCTGTCAAGCCCAAGTCGATAAAACTAATGTCTTTATCTTCTTTCTTTTTCTAAGCACAATTTCATTTTTTTTCAGGCCATTTCATCAGAACATTTTGACCATGTTTCTTGATGCTGACCTGTAGGTGGTAGTAGTCGTCATAGGTGTAGACCTCATCTCCGGTGTCCACATTGAAGACAGAGTGGAGGCATTTAGAAGGGTTGGGGTCCTGTTTGAACTCCTCCACCTGCAAATGAACAAAGAGGAAGGAGGTGGAGCTCAGAGGAATGCACGGCGTCGCAAATGTTTGAATAGAAAATTAGTTTTATATCAGTTACCGCAGCTGTTCTACTGTATGTCCAATACGTCTGTTTTGCACTGTCAAATATTGGCCTAATTCATGCTCCTCCAAAGCAACCAAACTCTGGTCATTTGCAACGAGAAAGGTCTTCATCTGGGTCTGTCTAGTCCGCGTCTGGTCCGCGTCTGGTCCGCGTCTGGTCCGCGTCTGGTCCGCGTCTGGTCCGCGTCTGGTCCGCGTCTGGTCCGCGTCTGGTCCGCGTCTGGTCCGCGTCTGGTCCGCGTCTGGTTCGCGTCTGGTCCGCGTCTGGTCCGCGTCTAGTCCGCGTCCGTCCATCTTAGTCTGTCTGTCCCCGTCTGTCTGTCTCCGTCTGTCTGTCTTCGTCTGTCTGTCTCCATCTGTCTGTCTCCTCGTCTGTGTCTAGAGTGCGTCTAGTGTGTCTGTCTTCGCCTCTGTCTGTATCTGCCTCCATCTGTCTGTCTCCCTCTCCCTGTCTCCGTCAGTCTGTCTCCCTCTCCCTGTCTCCGTCAGTCTGTCTCCCTCTCCCTGTCTCCGTCCGTCTCCCTCGTCTCCGTCCGTCTGTCTCCGTCCGTCTGTCTCCGTCCGTCTCCGTCTATCTCCGTCTGTCTCCGTCTGTCTCCGTCTGTCTCCGTCTGTCTCCGTCTGTCTCCGTCTGTCTCCGTCTGTCTCCGTCTGTCTCCGTCTGTCTCCGTCTGTCTCCGTCTGTCTCCGTCTGTCTCCGTCTGTCTCCGTCTGTCTCAGTCTGTCTCAGTCTGTCTCAGTCTGTCTCCGTCTGTCTCCGTCTGTCTCAGTCTGTCTCAGTCTGTCTCAGTCCGTCTCCGTCCGTCTCCGTCCGTCTCCGTCCGTCTCCGTCCGTCTCCGTCCGTCTCCGTCCGTCTCCGTCCGTCTCCGTCTGTCTCCGTCTGTCTCCGTCTGTCTCCGTCTGTCTCCGTCTGTCTCCGTCTGTCTCCGTCTGTCTCCGTCTGTCTCCGTCTGTCTCCGTCTGTCTCCGTCTGTCTCCGTCTGTCTCCGTCTGTCTCCGTCTGTCTCAGTCTGTCTCAGTCTGTCTCAGTCTGTCTCAGTCTGTCTCAGTCTGTCTCAGTCTGTCTCAGTCTGTCTCAGTCTGTCTCAGTCTGTCTCAGTCTGTCTCCGTCTGTCTCCGTCTGTCTCCGTCTGTCTCCGTCTATCTCCGTCTATCTCCGTCTGTCTGTCTCCGTCTATCTCCGTATGTCTGTGTCCATCTGTCTGTGTCTAGTGTGTCTGTCTGTGGCTGGCTGTGTCCATCTGTCTGTGTCTAGTGTGTCTGTCTGTGTCTGTCTCCGTCTGTCTCCGTCTGTCTCCGTATATCTCCGTCTGTCTGTGTCCATCTGTCTGTGTCTAGTGCGTCTGTCTGTATCCATCTGTCTGTGTATAGTGTGTCTGTCTGTGTCCGTCTGTATCCATCTGTCTGTGTCTAGTGTGTCTGTCTGTGTCTGTCTCCGTCTGTCTCCGTATATCTCCGTCTGTCTGTGTCCATCTGTCTGTGCCTAGTGCGTCTGTCTGTATCCATCTGTCTGTGTATAGTGTGTCTGTCTGTGTCCGTCTGTATCCATCTGTCTGTGTCTAGTGCGTCTGTCTGTATCCATCTGTCTGTCTCCGTCTGTCTCCAAAATTGTAGCAGCTGCAATAATCTTTTCTACCTGACATTCATTTTAAGTAATATCCACTTATGATTATGGGTTACTGTCATTTTAGCTCATATACTGCACTTTATTAATTCATCCATTTAATTTATCACAACTAAATTGCCCATTTTGTTAAAGCGCCAGCACTAAACGGCCTAATTCACAAACATGAGATTGCACAAATTGATGTGATTACTTGTACACACTACACAAAAACAGACAATAATAAATGAACTGAAAACCAGGGTTTAGAATAAAGAATAACTTTAAGCCTCAGCAAGTGCTATATATAGTGCTGGGCGGCACGGTGGCTGAGTGGATAGCACTCTCGCCTCTCAACAAGAAGGTCCTGGGTTCGAATCCCGGTCGGACCAGGGCCTTTCTGAGTGGAGTTTGCATGTTCTCCCCGTGTCTGCGTAGGTTTCCTCCGGGTACTCCGGTTTCCCCTACCACTAAAAATATGTCCAATAGTTCTGGCATGCGCTTCCTGTACTGGCGACCCCGCTCCCATCGCTGTGTGGAGTGAGAGACAAATGCCCAAAATTAACAATTGTAAACCGCTTTGAGACTCAGATCTGCAGTGAAAAGGCGGTATATAAATAAAAACTTACTAACTTACTATATCTAAAAACCTTCTGACTGCGCACACTCCTTCACTTGAATCTCTAGGTTATTTTTCTCAGAAATCTTTCACGTTTAAGAATTCCAAGACTGCTATGATTCCTCGCCGCACTTGCGCTACAGTAACAATTCCATTTATTTCTGAGTTGGGGCGTTGGTTTTTCATTGAGACTTCGATTGCTATTCCGCCTCCAAGAGCAGGCACATAGATGTATGCCTGTGTGTGTGTGTGTGACTATTTGTCTAAACGTCTTAAACACAAATCAATCTGAAAACTAACTTTGTATTTTGTATTTTTTTATTATTATTTGTTGCATGCAATTCCAACGTAGGTTTGTTGAGGAGGTGTGAGGGGAAGTGGATAAAGAGATCAGAGAGAGACCAATGAGAGATCAGAGAGAGGTCAGAGAGAGACCAGTGAGAGACCAGTGAGAGACCAGTGAGAGACCAGTGAGAGACCAGTGAGAGACCAGTGAGAGACCAGTGAGAGACCAGAAAGAGACCAGAGAGAGACCAGAGACGGATGAAGAAAGAGAGCTCCTGGTGAAGAAGCTAGACTCTCCACCTCAGAAGCTACAGCTGCAAACAGCCTGATGCCCTGTTCCAGAGCAACCTGCTGTTTGCAATCTATATTTCTAATCTGAGAGTCCTTCCCCTCCATTTCTCTCTGATGATGAAGCTTTGAAACGTTCTAAAAACTCATAGCTTCAAACAGCCTGAGAGACCAGGGAGAGAGGCCAGAGAGAAACCAGAGAGAGCTCCGGGTGAAGAAGTCCAAGCTGATGTTAAAGTCGTCCATTTCTCAGACATTCCAAACAGAACACAACATCTGGATTCAGCAGAAAAGAAGGAGTTGGACTCTCCACCTTAGAAGCTACAGCTACAAACAGCCTGATGCCCTAGTTCAGAGCAACCTGCTGTTTGCATTCTATATTTCTAGGCTGAGAGTCCTTCCCTTTCGTCTCTCTCTGAAAATGTATAGCTTTAAGCAGCCTGAGAGATCAGAGAGAGAGGCCAGATAGAGAGACCAGAGAGGCCAGAGAGAGACCAGAGAGAGATTAGAGAGACCAAAGAGAGGTTAGAGAGACCAGAGAGAGACACAGCCTCATAACCTTACCAAATTTCCCATTCCCTTTCAGACTTTAGATTTGAATTAGCAGCTACAGCGTCTGACCTGTGCTGCTGAGAATGCGTTATTCTCTTAAAACTCAAACTTTTTCATCAGCGCCGAAGCGCTCTTCCCCTTGACCCGGTTCCTCTGCAGCTCGGGCCCCTGCTTCTGCGTGTCCTGCTCAAGTTTACGTTCAAATAATTCTGTTAGATTTTTCACATTTTTCTTGAGCTCTGTGCAGTCATCCTTCCAACGCTGAGGTCTGGACTCATCTGCACTCGTCTGTGGTATCTCAAATAAGGCCCTTGTTGTTTGATCCAGATTCTGCGTTGGTACATTGGAGGTAGAGGTCTCAACCTTCACGGCTTTTAGATTTGTTAGCATCTCCACACTGGCCACCGTTTGCGTCTGCGTTTCACACATAGACGGCTTCTTCTGGGGGGCGGCCTCGCTTACTTGTTGCTCCAAACGTCTGCGAGCTTCCACCTGTTGTTTGAAACCGTCCTTGAAAACGCTCAACTCCTCGAGGTGATCGTCGAACGCTTTCGTCTGTAACAGTTTTTGTTCCATCAATTTCTCACAAGCCTCCTTATGTTCAGCCTCATGTTTCCGTGAGGTTTCTTTGGCTTGTTCCAGCTCTTTCTTCAGACTTTGATTCTGCTCCACACACCAAATATACTCCTCTTTTACGTCCTCAAACTCCTTCAGTTGCCGTTCAAGCATCTCGATCTTCTGCTCAGCTGAACTCTGTGGTTTTGTGCCAACTGAGATCTGGTCTTCACACTGCGTTTCCACTTTCATCTGTAAAAGTTGCAGCTCTTTCTCCAGATTTTGATTCTGCATCTCAATCTTCTGGCTTTGTTTTGCATTCTCACTTATCTGTTTCTCTAAACTTTTTCCAAATGAGTCCAGCTCTTCTAAAGACTGCTTTAAAACCCTAAGCTCCTCAAAGTTTTCTTGAAGCTCTTTCTCATGTGAGAGTTGCAGCTCTTTCAACTTCTCACAAGCCTCCTGACGTTCAGACTCATGTTTGCGTGAGTTCTTGTTGGCTTGTTCCAGATGCTTCTCCAGACTGAGGTTCAAACTTTGCAGCTGCATCAGTTTCTCACAAACCTCCTGATTCTCTTTCTCCTTCTGTGCTAACTTTTCTCTTGCTAGCTCCAACTCTGCGTTAAACTTGGCCTCTTTAAATTGCATACACCTCATCGCACACTCAAATTCCTCATACCCATTTTTGGAGTCTGGCTGGTCCTCTGTCTGAGTCTGGACCTTGCTGCTGGACCTGGCCTGAGTCTGTGTCTGGACCTCGCTGCTGGACAAGGCCTGAGTCTGTGTCTGGACCTCGCAGGTGGACAAGGTCTGAGTCTGTGTCTGGGCCTCGCAGATGGACCAGGCCTGAGTCTGTGTCTGGGCCTCGCAGGTGGACCAGGCCTGAGTCTGTGTTTGGGCCTCGCAGCTGGACAAGGCCTGAGTCTGGACCTCGCTCCTGGACCAGGCCTGAGTCTCTGTCTGGACCTCGCTGGTGGACCAGGCCTGAGTCTGCGTCTGGACCTTGCAGGTGGACAAGGCCTGAGTCTGGACCTCGCTGCTGGACCAGGCCCGAGTCTGTGTCTGGACTTCGCTGCTGGACCAGGCCTGTGTCTGGACCTCGCTGCTGGACCAGGTGGGTGGTTGAAGGTCCCTCTGTCTGTAAATGTTGTTGTCCGCAAACATCTCTTCCATCTCCTGCAGCTCCTGGTTCAGCTGTGACAGGATCTTTCTAATGTCGTTGTCTTTGGGACCGACGTCTCCCACTTCCGGACCTTCCAGGGTCAGTGTAATGTCCTCCGGACCTTCCAGGGTCAGTGTAATGTCCTCCATACTGTGTCTTAGAACTGTTAAGCCCCTCCTTTTTGCTTCTATGTAAGTCTGTTTGTGTTTGAGACCTGACGTTGCCCTAAGGTTAACTTTTCATTGCTTTATGACGTCATTACTGCTTTGACAGGACCGCCGTAACCTAGCAACCGGTGACGTCATCGGGATCCGGAACAGAGGGGCTGTTCCCATGGCAACCTGTCCTTTAATTTGATGTCAGAATTTATGAGCAGGATTCAAATCTTTATTGTTTTAAAAAAAGACAAACTGAACATTATTTAAACGTTTTTAAATTTGGAGCGGGTTTGTCTAAAACTGACTTAATCCTGAAGTTGATTAAAAACAATTCAACCTTTAAAATACATCAAATTTTTATTTTAATATTTCTTTCATGATTTACAGAATTTTACTTTTACAAGATTATTTTTTAAACCAGATCTATCTCCTCATCAGTCACTGATCTGGAGTTGTTTTTAGCTCCATCCACACTTATATGGAACTCTTCTGTCTAAACAGCAGGGGGCTTCTGTGTGTGTGTGTGTGCGTGTGCGTGTGCGTGTGCGTGTGTGTGTGTGTGAATACTGTATTGTTCTGATTGCACACTGGATCACAGCTGGACCTCATACACGGACTCGGTTATAAGTATTATGCCTTTTGTCCCATTTTAGCTTATTTCTCTTGAGAATTGACTGGAAATATCAGCATACTAAACCCACCTTTGAAAGACTATTGTGTAAAGTGTTGGCCTTTGAGCCAGAAGGTCGTGGGTTCAAGCCCCGCTCAAGACTTTCACCATCGACTCCCACTGACTACTGTCGTTGTGTCCTTGGCAAGACACTTAACCTCTGGGAACACCAGCCACAGTGGGGCGGCTGCCGCTGTAAAGTGACAAACTGCCGTTGTGTCCTTAGGCAAGACACTTCACCCCCATTGCCTAGAATGAGTCTGGTGTGTGTGAGTGAATGGTTGGTGGTGGTCGGAGGGGCCGATGGCAGACTGGTTGCCTCGCTTCTGTCAGTGTGCCCCAGGGCAGCTGTGGCTACAGTAGTAGTTTATCACCACCGTGTATGGAGTGAATGAATAATGACACATGTGAAGCGTCTTTGAGTGTCCAAAAAAGCGCTATATAAAACCAATGCATTATTATTATTATTCCTCACACCACACATCCGCCTACGAACATGACCAACGTAAATGTTTAAGTCCGCACAGATATTCTCTTCCATCTCTCTTATGGTACAACCCCTACACACCCCGCTCTCCTCCTCTTCCTCTTTCACGTCTAGTCAGGTCATAGCCAAGACCCTTTGTCCCAATTTTGCAAGCTCTGCCCCACTTTCTGATGTCCCATTGAGACTCATTTTTGTGTGTGTATGAGGGGATGCCACCGCAATTTTGCTACCTTGGCCTGTTTGTGTTTTTCTACGATAAGGTTCAGGTTTTTTAATGAATGACTTCCTGCAAAGACTCGTTGTCAGCAGGCCCTATTCTGTCATGGTAGGATAGGAGGTCACATGGTTGTATACGTGTTTTGAGCAGCAGTGAAAATAGAGAAGCAAGCAAATGACTTCCGAACTGGGTAACAGGAGTCAAGGTTTGTTCCAGCTATTGGCAGTTCAGCATAGTCAATGTAACTAATCATTATAGATAGTCCCATTGCTTTGGTCAATGTGAGGTCCTACGGGTCAGAGGAATCCTATAACGCTTATGGCGATACCTACAGATGAATCCAGTCCAAATCAGAATGTCACTTGTATTCTTGCATTTATCATATTGAGGAAGTGACCGTCATTGACACCGCAGCAGCTGTGTGCAACTGTTGCATAAGGCTGCGGATCTCAACAACAAGTATGCAACATCCACACAGAAAAACGCTGCTTTGTTAGCCTCTTACACCCACTTTTAAACGTTTAATAGTGCTATTTTCCCAAATAAACTAAAGGTATAGCTTTCACTTGTCACCTTGAGTTTTCATTATTACAGGAAGAGAAAAATTAAAAGATCAAATGCATTCATAATTTAGTGGGAAAGCCAGATTAAAGTGAATACTCTGATCTGGTAGATCTTGGACTAGCTATGATTGTTAGACCCGAACATTCCAATGACTGTGGCCAAAAAATGTATAATGTTCATCATTTTCTTCATTCCATGTTTTGACAATCGTTTATAAAGAAAGAAGAGCCATAAAACTAGACTGTAATGTAATATATGGAGTATAGACGTATGAAAAATACATGTATGTGTAATTAAACATGTATAAGATAGAAAATGAAAGGAGGGGTCATGATGTTAATAGTGTAATTACCGCTCAAATGAAATACATAGAATTCAAAGCTTCTGATGGAATAATAATCCATTGTGTCCCCGTTGAGCTATGATTGACAAGGGACGAGTTGTTCAACGCCATTCTTTTAATCAGAAAAGAATGTTTTGGCTGTACATTTTTGGATCCCATTTGATTAATTGTAATGAAAAATGACCCTGCTGTGTTTCTTAATCATTGAGGCATGCCCTGCAGTTGCCCCGTGTCATGTCTCCATTAAAATGGCCGTGTTCCCTGTGAGTGTCGAGGACGGCGCCCAGAGAACAAGCGCAGTGTAATTAACTCTGTACGTATTTACAATTAAGGCATAGAAACAGTTTCCACAAAATTAGTCTGTCAAGGTTGAGGCAAAGGGAAATAGAATGGTCCAGTCCACGGGCTCAGTCTGCCTGAGCACAAACCCCCACAGCAGGTGACTCCATCACAACATGCTGCTCATGCAGGAGAAAACAGCACCAAGAAGATGGATCGATCCTTTTCAAATGCAAAACTAACTTTGCAAACGGCTCATTTCCATCCAAAAAGAACCACATGGACAATTTTAATGATATATGTCTAATTACATATACATGTCAGAGCTTGACTGAAAATGTAAAAAAGCTAAAGCATTTATGGTGGCTTATTTTTTTATAAAAAATAATGAATAATGCTTAATGCATCAGTTTTATACAGCGCTTTTCAGGACACTCAAAGAAGTTTCACATGACATGATTCTTTCTCTCCAAACACGGTGGTGATAAACTACTACTGTAGCCACAGCTGCCCTGGGGCACACTGACAGAAGCGAGGCAACCAGTCTGTGCCATCGGCCCCTCCCACCACCACCAACCATTCACACACACACCAGACTCATTCTAGGCAATGGGGGTGAAGTGTCTTGCTTAAGGACACAACAACAGTTTGGCACTTTACAGCCGCTCCACTGTGGCACCTGGTGTTCCCAGGTCTCCCATCACAGTACTGACTTTGTCAGGTCCCTGTGCCTCTTACTGGGGAATCCTGAATACCGCACAATTACAGAAATTCTCATAATTCTCAATCTAATTTAACCAAATGAAGCTTTCCATGGAGCTCATCACAAAACTGTCATTAAATATGTCTGTAACAGGTTCCAGTCATTAAGACCTCACGTCAGGAGGAGCCCATCTTCCTGTGGCTGTTTATAATGATCACACTGCTTCACTGTGAAGAGCCTTTGATCACAAACACAATGTGATAATTGTGTGGAGGTTTTACCTGTGTTTTATATACATACTGTATACTGTATACAGTACAGTACATACTGTATACAGTACAGTATATACTGTATACAGTACAGTACAGTACATACTGTATACAGTACAGTATATACTGTATACAGTACAGTACATACTGTATACAGTACAGTATATATGTTGAGAATGGAGAAGAGGAGCCGCACCTTATCAGCCTGCCTCATGTAGCAGTAGAGAATCCCCCGCATGCATTTGATGGCCGAGTGCTCCAGCTCATGCGTCCTGCCCATGTCGTCATCGATACGTCTGCAACATGAAAACACAGTCAGAATAATCAAAGGTTAGCCTGGCCCCAGACATTTAGCCCCGCCCACATGAAACTTCACTGAAGGTCGGCTGGACGCAGGCTAATCAAGAGTCTGCCTTTATACAGAATGTGAATGAAACACAATATAAAGTAATACATGACAGCAAGTGGATATATCAGGATTGTCTCTAAATATGTAGCATTTTTATAAAAGGAATTGTTATAATTTCATTTATAGCAATCAATCTGGAACAATTTAATGACAAGTCCCTGTACCATTTTAACCAGAATTAGAGGGTACACCTTACTGCAACCTTTACTTTAATTGGCGATCACTAAGTACCTACAGAGAGTGATGCAAATAGGATCGCACTCACAAGTCAATCAATTAGTCAGAGTGGAATCCTGTTGGGGCTAACACATCTGAGGAACTGAACAAAGGCCACGCTAATAAAGACTTTGGCTATTGGCAGAGGAGCTAAGGTTAAACTTGTTTGTATTTCACTTGAACACATTGAATTAATCATGATGTGAAGCAGAAGAGTGACCCTGAAGGATACAAGAGCGAAACATCACACTGTGAGTATCTCTTGAGACTGTAGGAAACATAATTCACTTTTAAAATATCAAAGTAGATGAGCCAAAGGTTTGACAGACACAAACAGTGCCATGTGATCCCAGGGTTCCTACTTTTTAATACAGTGAAACGGTAAAATACAGTGTGTGTGGTAAAGTTTCCATGTCCACAACTTTAAAACAAAGCCAGAGTAAGGAGCTGCAGCTGGGTGTGAAGTAACGGCACTGAGGCTGTCGGATGAGAATCATGTTAATTAAATCCCTGTGACAATTGTAAAAGAAGCCGGCCGTGACTGATGACCGAGATGTGCTGCTGGACACACTGCAATGAGCACTATTTTTACACTCTGCAATCTTTCTCCTTCGCTTTCTTTGGAGCTGACGTTTTATGATCCATCCGTCCTTTAATAAAAATCCACAAAATGACACCGGATTTCCCTGAACCAATAATCTCAATGTGCAAAGCTGTCAAATCCTGAGGGAAAATAAGGCTGAAAGTCATAATAGACATGAAGCTGTGAAACCAAAGAGATATTTTAGTCTGTTTTCTACTTAGTCACGAGTCGCCAAGAGCTACGTGTTGGCCTTTTCTGAGACTTTTACTTTGCCCAAAGGCAGAAAAACTGTTTGTTTTGTGGCACAATAGCTGTGCAAAGAGATTAAAAATAAAATGAAATATTTTCTTATAAAGCATGTTCATCTACATTTGCCTGCATTGCACTGTCCACACACATGTAAGCTACATTGTGACTAATGCTTTCCACACCGGACATTTCAATGGTTCGTTACGTATAGTAGATGGTCTGTATCTACGTAACTATAAGCAATAGGTATCTGCCTCAGTCCTGCCTCAGTCCTGCCTCAGTCCTGCCTCAGTCCTGCCTCAGTCCTGCCTCAGTCCTGCCTCGCCTCAGTCCTGCCTCAGTCCTGCCTCAGTCCTGCCTCGCCTCAGTCCTGCCTCAGTCCTGCATCGCCTCAGTCCTGCCTCAGTCCTGCATCGCCTCAGTCCTGCCTCAGTCCTGCATCGCCTCAGTCCTGCCTCAGTCCTGCATCGCCTCAGTCCTGCCTCAGTCCTGCATCGCCTCAGTCCTGCCTCAGTCCTGCATCGCCTCAGTCCTGCCTCAGTCCTGCATCGCCTCAGTCCTGCCTCAGTCCTGCATCGCCTCAGTCCTGCCTCAGTCCTGCATCGCCTCAGTCCTGCCTCAGTCCTGCCTCAGTCCTGCCCCAGTCCTGCCTCAGTCCTGCATCTCCTCAGTCCTGCCTCAGTCCTGCATCTCCTCAGTCCTGCCTCAGTCCTGCCTCAGTCCTGCCTCAGTCCTGCATCGCCTCAAGTAGTCCTGCACTGTGTGGCTTCTGTCCTCTTCCTGAGTCCTGAGTCCTGGGTCTACAGCTCAGTCCTGGATCTACAGCCTGAGTCCTGGGTCTACAGCCCGTCTGTCTGGGGGATCGGATCCCTCTCTCAAAGTGGGCCGTCCCTGAGGTTTCTCACTTTTCCCACGGGGTTAAAAGTTCTCTCTTGCCGATGCAGGAGGGACTGTTAAGAGTTTTGTGAGGTCTAACTAAAAGGACAGTGGTGATGATCCAGGACACTCAACATTCAACATTTGTGGACATTAGTCATCTGCCCCTTATGGACCAATTATGGACCAATTATGGACCAATTATGGACCAATACCAACGTGTTTTTTGTACATTTCTTGTGTTTGAACTGTTCTTTTCTCTGATCTGTGTTGGCGAATTCAACGGTTGTGTAAAGTCCTCTGAGAAAACTACTGTTGTGATTCAGGGCTATACAAGAATAAATATTCTATTCAATTCAATAAACTATTTTATTGAATAGAAAACCGCACAATCCATACAAAAGCGGAGTCAAGCATATAGAACATTGTCAAGGATTATCTCAATTTGGAGCAAAAGTCTTGTGTATAACATACTAACACACATACTAACCTATAGGCCAAAGCTAGAGACCAGGCCCCAGCGGCGCAGTAGAGCGAGTCCCGCACTTTGGCTTCTTTGCAGGTGGAGCAGGTCTTCACCGGGAACAGCCCTGTGGTCGGACTCTGGTAGTTGAGGATAGTGGCTTTAACTGAAAACAGAAAGAACAAAACAGAAGATACTATTGCACTGTTTAATTAGCAAACTCCCACGTTCATTATGTATCGTTGTGTGATTGAAAATGGTCTGATGACATTGTGATCTCTTAAATATTCAAAACATATAACATCCAATTCTTCCTCCCACACTCGGAGGTAATGCACTTTTACAAGTTGTTTAATCTCAGATACACCTACATCATTCTCCACAAGTACTCTGTATATGGTTTAATGATTTCTCTAATACATTAACCAAAGATATGAATGAATTAACATGCCTTTCAAAGAAGCAGGGGTCAACCATTTACCACAAAAAATAAAGAAGTCAAAGAAGTGTCGAACTTTTAGTGCAGTCCACGCGGGATATTATATTCTGACTTGTACAACTGCATTTTCATGAAAAGTATTAAAAGAACCGAACCTAAACGATAATGAAATCTGGGGGACCTTTCAAACCAGACAAAATAAAACAAAATGGTTCTACCTCACGCCTGTACATGTGAAACATAGAATATTAGAATAACGGTCAAAAATTCATTTATTTCTGTAATTCAACCTCAAATGTGAAACTGATATTTGGTATAGTCTCATTACAAGCAAAGTGACACACGTCAAGCCTTTGTTATAAATGTGATGATTATGGCTACAGTCCATTTGTTTGGGTTTTTTACAAGCTGTGAGACAGTAATCACCATTACAACAGATAAAGGACTGATATATCTCACATGTTTAATGAGTCTCATATTGTAATTTAAATTTAAAAAGTACATTGACTTTTGAACGTTATTCTAATTTACAGAGATTCTACTTTATGCATGGCCCCTTTTCAGACAAACAAGTTAAAAAAACACATGTTTTCTTATAAGATAAAGATCACCTGTTGTGTGGTAGTTTGTTTACAACATTTCACTATTAGAAGAATCTCTATTGGAAAAAGAAACATGTATTAATTGGTGAACAAAAAAGTTAGGAATTCAAGCTTTAAGCGAAACTTCCCAATTGAAAAACAACACGAATCAGAGATAATAATAATAATAATAATAATAATAATAATAATGATGCATTGGTTTTTATAAAGCCATTCATTTTTCTTTCTCTCCAAACACGGTGATGATAAACTACTACTGTAGCCACAGCTGCCCTGGGGCACACTGACAGAAGCGAGGCAACCAGTCTGTGCTATCGGCCCCTCCCACCACCACCAACCATTCACACACACACCAGACTCATTCTAATGTGGGGGAAGTGTCTTGCCTAATGGTGCTTTCAGACCGGATCATGCTGCGTCGGGTTTCAATGCAAAGTCTACGGTGGCGTGCGTTCGACCGTCACAACGCACGGACCTCTCGGCACAAACGGACTGTTCAATAATGACGCACGGACTTGGTGGGAAAGTGAAAAGGGGAGGAGCAGGTGCGAAAAATCAACGCCCACAGGAGATGGATTCTGCTCATCCTTTCCTTGGGACGTTCATGCGACCAATCAGAGAGCTGTAAAGTGGTCACGGGGACATTAGCGGACTGAGCGAGCAGACTGAAAATACTGTAAACAGCCAAAACAGGACCCACACCAGACTTCACCAGAACTCAAACCAGGGCTGACAATGGGGGACTCTGTGCTTGTGAAAATATGCGTTGTCATGCTCCTGTGACCTTATGCAACTGCTTCGCAGTGTGTTCGCCGATGCGGAAATTCCGTTTAATAATGCTGCAATACCACCCCGGGCCTGTGGGGGTGGACCCAGAAGAAGAATTAGCCAATGCTCACATATAGCATTGGCAGACCTCTCAAAAACGTCTTTACAGGATGGACCAAAAGTTGGCTCTTGGCCCAAAGCTCCGTTCCACATGTGTGTCAATGCTGAGGGGGGTGAATTTTTGAAGTCTCTCGTTCAAATGAATGGAGCTGCGCCGGCTGCCGCATGCACAGATGCGTTTTTTCACAATTTTCTTGTGGGCGGGACCACTCGCGGCCATCTTGGATTGCTCCATGAAAGCACTTTTCATGGCCAACTCTTATGAACGGCGGAGATAGGCGTGACTCTGTCCGTTATTATACACAGTCTATGGTCAGGACGTTCTGGTGTGAAGTCCTCTGCGTCTGAAAACTAGAGAATGCGCGTCTGGTGAGCAGGGCTTCCGCGTTTCAGCGTTGGCGGTCTGAAAGCCCCATAAGGACACACTATGGCACCTGGTGTGTTCCCAGAGGTCTCCCATCACAGTACTGACCAGGCCCTGCCCTGCTTAGCTTCACAGGTCTGACGAGTGTTTACACATTGAAAGCTGATAACAGTGAGAGATTACGCAGCCTTCTCCTGCAGAGCTTCTGGCTGATGGGCGATCCGTCTCCTTAGCTACATTTTTCAACCGCACATTATTCTGCTGCAAATGAAGAGAACATCCATTTTGCGCTGTCATTCGTTACCAGAGCAGGAGGAGAGTGATAGATAAAGAAGAAGACAAAGATGGTGGATGAAGCATTTGCATATATATATATAGAAAAACACAACATTTACAAGCAGTGTGCATGTGGCTTTGAATGAGAATTGACACTGGGCATGTGCAGAGCCACTGGCCGGTCAACTGAAGGTGACAGTCACATTGGCACCAAGATAAAGAGGTTGATAAGGCAAATTAGACAGAACATTAATAGCCCCCTGAAGGTAGACCACCTCTGTAGGACATAATGAAAAGCGTGTTCTTATAGCGAGGGCTGCGTGTCTCCAGAACGCTATTTTGTTTCTATCTATAGACCAGACACATAGCTGTATCTGTATGTTTAGTGGTGGCCGGAGACAGATGTGCGGCACTCGGGATTGGCTCATTTATGTGCCCTTGTAAGAATGCCAGTCTCGTTTGTTGAGTAAATGAAATGTTTCAGAGTGAATGCGTGGTCTTCTGGATTCACTGAGATTGCCTTGTGTTGGGTCAATGGCGGGACATTGTCTATGGCTCGTTTGTGAATGTGCAGAATGACGTGAAGGATAAACACCGGCCAATTCTAACCCTGAAGACTTTGTATAAGAAGTCAGTGGTGAGCAATAAGTAACCACACAAACGGTGATGTAGCGGAAAATAAAGTAGCTGTCATGGTGTGGATTTTATTTTGGACTTTAGCTTTATTTTGATATCTGTTCTCTGTGCTTTGGTTTTAGTTTGACTTTGACGTCCTGTGCCCCCTGTCTTGATGGTCTGCCCCGCCCTAATGTGTTTCACCTGTGCCTCTGTCTATTATTACCCTGTGCTCCTCTGCTCTTGTTGCTGGTCCATTGTATTGTCAACTTCTGTTCCGTCCTGTTCCTGATTTTGTGCTCCTGGTTCCGTATTTTAAATTTTGAGTTTTGTTTTTACCTTGGACTTTATTTTATTAAATAATTATTTTGGCATTCTCGCGTTTTGAGTCCTCCTCCTTCCCACCTGGTGACAGTAGCGGCTACAAGAAAGCACGAAATCATACAAAACATACATCGTGGAATTCTTTAGTTCTATTCTTGCCACATGAATCTAGCGTGTAATCTTTTGATTTATGGATTAGTTGTTTAGAGCACAGATATGACAACCCCTCTTTTTGACCCAGATAGAACTGAAGTGAAGCCGTCGGAGGACATTTTAATTGATAACAGACAATATTATTAAAACACCAGACATTTTCACAATCTGAATTATATTTATGATGATTAATGTGAGGTTTGGAAAGCTAAAATCCCATCTCTCAGCAAATAACTGTGATTACCATTATTCAAGATAGAGATTTTACACTTGTTATTGATGAGAGTTAGAGATAACTTGAGACGCAAGATTGAAATTTCCCCACTGTGGGACTAATCTTAATACCTGTTAAATTGGGTGTCTGTGTCTCTGTGTGTCTCTGTCTCTGTGTCTCTGTGTGTCTCTGTCTCTGTCTGTGCGTCTCTGTGTCTCTGTCTGTGCGTCTCTGTGTCTCTGTGCGTCTCTGTGTCTCTGTCTGTGTGTCTCTGTGTGTCTCTGTCTCTCTCTGTGTGTCTCTGTCTCTCTCTGTGCGTCTCTGTCTCTCTGTGCGTCTCTGTGTCTCTGTCTGTGCGTCTCTGTGTCTCTGTGCGTCTCTGTGTCTCTGTCTGTGTGTCTCTGTCTCTCTCTGTGTGTCTCTGTCTCTCTCTGTGTGTCTCTGTCTCTCTCTGTGCGTCTCTGTCTCCGTGTGTCTGTCTCTCTGTGTCTCTGTCTCTGTGCGTCTGTGTGTCTCTGTCTCTGTGTGTCTCTGTCTCCGTCTGTGCGTCTCTGTCTCTGTGTCTCTGTCTGTCTGTCTCTGTGTGTCTGTCTCTCTCTGTGTGTCTCTGTCTCTGTCTGTGCGTCTCTGTCTCCGTGTCTCTGTCTGTGTGTCTCTGTGTGTCTGTCTCTCTCTGTGTGTCTCTGTCTCTCTCTGTGTGTCTCTGTCTCTCTCTGTGTGTCTCTGTCTCTCTCTGTGTGTCTCTGTCTCTGTGTCTCTGTCTCTGTGTGTCTCTGTCTCTCTCTGTGTGTCTCTGTGTCTCTGTCTCTGTGTGTTTGTCTGTCTCTGTCTCTCTCTGTGTGTCTCTGTCTCTGTGTGTTTGTCTGTCTCTGTCTCTCTCTGTGTGTCTCTGTCTCTGTGTGTCTCTGTCTCTGTCTCTCTCTGTGTGTCTCTGTCTGTCTCTGTGTGTCTCTGTCTCTGTGTCTCTGTCTCTCTCTGTCTCTGTCTGTCTCTGTGTGTCTCTGTCTCTGTCTCTGTCTCTCTCTGTCTCTCTCTGTCTCTGTCTGTCTCTGTCTGTCTCTGTCTCTGTCGCTGTGTCTCTGTCTCTGTGTGTCTCTGTCTCTCTCTGTGTGTCTCTGTGTGTCTCTGTCTCTGTCTGTGTGTCTCTGTCTCTCTCTGTGTGTCTCTGTCTCTCTCTGTGTGTCTCTGTCTCTGTGTCTCTGTCTCTCTCTGTCTCTGTCTGTCTCTGTGTGTCTCTGTCTCTGTGTCTCTGTCTCTGTCTGTCTCTGTCTCTGTCGCTGTGTCTCTGTCTCTGTGTGTCTCTGTCTCTCTCTGTGTGTCTCTGTGTGTCTCTGTCTCTGTCTGTGTGTCTCTGTCTCTCTCTCTATACTTGACTGAAGTAAGGTTTTGCATTTGAAAGAAGGACAAAAGATGAATGTTGAAAGATGAATGTTGTATCTATACCTCTCCCACACATCTATCTTTAGGGATTAATCAGGCAAAACATGACAAATACATTGTAAAACTGCATTAAAATAGGATCTTAGACATTTCAGTAGTGTCTTAGTGTGTCTTTCCGTTAACATGTTATTAAACTAAACTAAATTGACAATTAGCACAGACTTATTTCTCTCCCTTTCTGCGAGAATACAAATCAAGTGTGAGTTTCTTTGCGGAAACATCCATCAAGTTAATGTCCCACTAAATCAGCAGCCACACACAAACACACACACAGACACACACACACACACAGACACACACCTCTTTCCTAGCTTGGTGGGGAAGAGGATAGAAGGCATAGGGAGATGTGCAGCAAAGAGTTGAGAAGAGAAAGATATTCGGGTGATGTTAGAGCAAAAGAAAGCACACAGCTCTTCCTGGACTCAACGATACATGTTTGTGTCCTTGGTTCATAATGCACTGTTGTACGAGAGAAGAAAAGGAGATGCCTTAAAGATGCAGTCAGTGATTTTTTTCCAGACGCATTTTTTGAACATTGTGAGAAAACGTCCCTAAACCCTAAAAGTATCAAGTTATCATGTGTTTTCAAGTAGTAATGCTATTGACCAGACGCCTATAGTCTCCAAAGATGCATAACAAATATTTTGGAGCGGACCGATACAAATAAACCAATGGGATTCCTTCATCCCCAACGAACCAATGGGATGTGTTTACCTTCACCCTCTTCCTGTTTCTCTCGAATGCCCCGGAGTTATCGGATTTTCTAAAAACTAAAATGGCTGAACCGAAAATACCAATTTCACATTTGCCGACTCTCCCTGTTGTGACAAAAAAAAGAAAATGCTGGATGTTTGGTTTGGTGGAGAGGGAGGGGAGGGGGAGCGGTTTCCAGTTGGTGCTACGGCTAAGCTAACAACATCTCAGATTCAGATTCATTTATTTGCCATTTGCAGTAAAACCACATTGGAAAAACTGTGCAAGACTACCCCAGTGTGCACCAGACAGAGAAGACGGCACACACCAGAGCTCTTGCCACGGCGCCATCTTCACGGCGCCATGCATCTTCATTGCTGCAAGGAATCAAAGTGACGGTGATAATCTCAAACATCGTCAACAACTCTTCAATATTGGTCACTGTTCCTATGGAAATGGTTTACTGTCAAAAATAATACAACCACATTTACACATGAAACAGAAACTAAAACTAAATGTGTCATCCATACCAAAAATCCAATCCAATCCACTTTATTTATATAGAACATTTAAACAACAGTTACGTTTCCAAAGTGCTGCACAAAAAAGTATAAAATAAATAACAACTTATCCTTAGCTTCACCAAGTAAAAAAGAATAAAAATATATTCAGATTAAAACCATAAATAGAAATAAAATAAAAACACACAGAACCACACAACTCACGCAGTGTTAAAAGCCAAAGAGTAAAAGTGGGTCTTAAGACGAGACCTAAAACACTCTACTGTGGGGGCCGTCCGGACATGGAGGGGAAGAGCGTTCCAAAAAAATGACAATACAGCATCACGTCTGTTGTTCAAAACCCCAACCTCAACAATACTGGCAGAGTAGTGAGTGTCTGCATGAGGGCAACACAAGTCTGCCAAGAGAGACAATCACACGTTTATCCAAATGAGAAAACACAGCTGGGATAGCCTCATGTTTCCGGTACATGCTCAAAATGGAAAAAAAGAGTGCCTTCCTTAATCTTTAAGAGCCAGACGGTGGTGTGACACTGCCTGCTGCCTTCACTGTTATCAGGAGGCGGCTGAGTCAATGGAGTGTGGCCACATTGCCGCAGAAATGAAGAACTCCGGAGGGGGCTGGTGTGAAGGGAAAGTGAACTCCAGATGATCAAAGTAAAGAATGGGATAGACAGATAATGCTTTATTGATCCCTAGATAGGAGGAGATATTCTTTACTTGATAAGAAAAGAAAAGCCGGACAATCTATGAGAATGTATAGATGATACTTTAGAATGCGCTGGAGACGGCAGGAAGTCCTGAGCAGCTCTGGGACAGATGTTTGTGATCAACCATTCATGGTTTTACACTGATCCAGACCAGAGCAGAGAGGATTCAGGGTCCGAACCAAGCAGACCCAGTGTAAATCCACAGGAGGAATGCGTATTTTTGTTTGATAAATGCAAAAAAAAGCATTCAGCCTTTTACTTTGGACTGAAGCAGAGAAAATGGTCCAAACCAAGCGGCTGCTCCACGTCTGCTGCTGTGACCTAAAGTGCTGCGGCATTTTAATACTATTGTTAGCTACTTTTAGAATTATGTATTTATTTGTTTTGTGCGTATGGATCAGTGGGGGCGGGTCCCGGCTTAAAAGTGGCCAAAATGACGTGCGCTGACATGCTGCAGTACCACCCCGGGCCTGTGGGGGTGGACCCAGAATAAGAATAAGAATTAGCCAATGCTAACATATAGCATCTTCTTACCTCTGGAAAACGTCTTTACAGGATGGTCCAAAAGTTGTCTCTTGGCCCAAAGCTCCGTTCCACATGTGTGTCAATGCTGAGTGTTCTGGACCAGTCTAGTTTAGTCGCTGTGGACTTTAGAAGTCTCTCGTTTAAATGAATGGAGCTCGTGCAGCTGACGCATGCACAGATGAGTTTTTTCACATTTTCCAGCCCCTGCGGCCATTTTAAAACTGCCCATAGACCACGGAAGTTGTGGCACATTAGTTAGAACGGTGGAGATAGACGTGACTACTGTACGTTAATATTTACACTCTATGGTATGGATGGAAGTGTTTCTGCTGCTACTACCTGAATTTACCCTACAGGGATCAGTACAAGAATCTATCTATCTATTTATCAGAACTGGAACCTATGGGATCTCCACTCTCAACAACGCCATAAAAATGACATAAAATAATCTAGTTTTGATTTGTCATTAGCTTCCCCTTAACCCTCACCAATGTGTTTCCTCCATGCCTCTGAACAAAACAAGCAGGTCTGTATGCTAGTGACAATAATTATGGCTTTGTTCCCTGGAAGAATACAACAAGCACATGCAAAGCAACAATTAAACAAGAAGACCACTTTTCACTAAGCTGTGGCGTTATGTAATCTGCAGGTTTTACTGTAAATCTGAAGGATTTGAAAGAAACAACTGTTGAGGGACAAGCTGTCATCTATGATAGCAGAAAATCACCTCACAGCTAACACACATGCAGCTCTTTCCATTAGTATTAACATTAACACGGGTAACCATGTCATGTTATACATCATTTTAAAGCAACAATTCTCAAGAAAACGTCTACAGTATATACTTTGAGACCAATATTGCAACTAGTAGTGTCTAAGAAAATACTAATAATAAAAAGGCTTATTGGTTTAAATGATACAGTTTTGGTTCAATCCAAACGTGACAGTAAAATTGACCAGAATAGAGAATCCAAACTGATAAATAATATGTATCCTTTATAGTCAGAATAAGAACATTTTAATTATTCAAAAGTGAAGATGCAAAACATGATCCAAAAACAAACAACACCAAAAAAGTAGTCCTCTCATTTTTTTCTATTCAGCCCCGACTAAAACATGTTTGACACCCTGGCGTAGACATTTGGTTCCATAGTTAAATATTTTAGGCATTTCTGCTCAAGTCTCTGTATTGAAAACCTTACATTTTGATACAAAAATGTCTGTGGCATTGGTTTTCTCTTCTTTTTCATATTAAAAAAAAAATGCACAGTGAAAAGAGGAAAATTGTTGCCCCAAAATGTAACTAATTAAAACGGTGAGTCTATAATTAACATGACGAGCCTGCTCAGCAACACTGGAGATATGTGTGAAAGTGTAAACATCATATGAATATCAGTCAATACTTTTACTTTTGAAGCGAACTTACCAGAGCTGTAAAAACGATCCAACTTTTCCCACAGCGGCTCATCGTCTCGCTGCAGAATGGACAGCTTCAGCGGTTCATAAATGGAGCCTGAGAAAACCACAGAATAATTTAATCAATGCAGATATTTGCATAATCCAACATACCAGAATGGTGACAATAATTCATTAATATGGTGATAAAAAAAAGAATAACGAACAATGTGAAAACACCTTTTGCACTTTTTTCTCTAGCTCTAATAAAAGCATTTTCAGAGTCGCTTCACCTGGCTGAGATTTGCATTTTAATGGCTTTGACCTTGTGTCAGAACCACAGGTACAGAGAAACTCACATTGTGACTCAAATTTGCATAATGTCCATCATCTTGAAAGTTGCAGGGAACAAAGCTTACTCCATCTCCTTTTAGCAAAACAATTTCTAGAACTGTAGGGGAATGAACAATAACGCAATTTCATCTCTTAAGACAATTCAAACTATGAGGTATTTGACCCTATTTTTCCTTGTTACCCCAATCACCAACATTACAATACATCATATGAATAAATAAAATGGACAAGACAGATTTAATGAATGGAAAGAAACACGGATGAGTGAATCGGTTCAGAATTAAACGGCATGGTCTCACCCTGGGAACATGGTCCGTCCTGCACCGTCTACTTACCGATTCTGCGAACTTTGCGATGGGCATTTGCGGCCACTGTTTCAGCCATGCTCAAAACTAACACCATTCAGGTCCAAGAAAAATCACAAATCTACAGCAATTCAGACAAAGGCGTTAGTAGAACAGAGCTGATTGAATACATGCACAAATCACCCACTTATTGAAATATTTGTAGATGGAAAGATTCAGGACAAATTAAATGCATATTAGGCTCTTGAAGTAAATGACAATGAATTAATGATGTAATTAATAGAATGTAGATGTTAGATGTAAATTAAATATAGAAATGTATCTAGTTCAATACAGTAAAGAAGAGCTCACAGTAATATTTCAGTAAAGACACGTGGTCCAATTGATTTTGTATTTGTTTTTTTTTAATGATAAGGCACTCTTAATAGTTAAACACTTTATTAGCACGTGCTAAAATAACTTCTGAGACGCACAAACAGGACGTTATCAGGGGATAGCTAATAATATTGTATTGGATGTTGTCGTTCCACTAACATCTATAAAGTGTTAAAATGAAAACATTAAACCAAAATCGCAACTAGTGGCAACTAAGAAAAACATAATAATAATAATAATAATAATAATAATAATATGCTTGTACAGTTTTAGTTCAATCCAAACATTACTGTGAAATTGACCAGAATAGAGTACACATACTGATATTCCCAAATTTTAGGAAAGAACCGCCCTCTTCCCTTTTTCAACAAAACTCTCTGGTCTCATTTGAGGAGCACATATCACCAGAATGACTGACAATTAAGAGGACCAATAGTCTTGATGATCCACCCGGAAGTAGAACATCATTCAAAAGTTAAGATGAAAAAGATGATCTAAAAACAAACAACAACAACAAAAGTAGTCGTCTCATTTAGCATCTATATAGTAACACTTAACACACATGACAGTTTAAGAGCCATGGACTGTAGAAATACGTTCTTTCTAAAGTCCAGAACCAGGACATTTCACCTGGACATAAGTTTTGTGTACGGCAGGATACGGTCTTATAAATAGCTTATGAGGAGCACACAGGTTCCCCCATGACCCCTGACCTTTCATGCGGTTAAGCCTGTGGTAAAGGTGGAGATGACACACGCAGACAGTAGATGCACCTGCAGCAGCACAAACATCACTGACAAAGGCCAAGCTACAAGTCACACCTGATCTTTTGGATCGGGCTTTAAATTCCATTAGCTTCCATCCGACATCTGCAAGACTCGCCATGTTCACCCAAATTATTAAATGTGCGACTGACTACGAGACTTTTTTGTAACGTTGTCCTATAAAAATAAAACTATTATCGTTTTAAAGGCACTCAGAATGGGAACAAAAATAATATTGTATCATTATTTGTTTATATATATTTGTTTCATTTATTTTTTTTGTATTCAAAGAACAAACGCATCGCTAGAGTTTGTTAAAATTACAAATAACACGAAAAAGAAATATATTACTGTGAAGAGACTTCTTAAGACTTCCGGTTAATGTCAGCTGTCAACCCGAGCAATCACGACACTGACGCAAACAATATAAAACTCATTAAAAAAAAACCTTGTTGCTACATTTGAAAGAAAATCATGTTCACCATTTCACTTAAAGAACATTTTATTACTTCTGAAATCCAATCTATCGTTGATTTTAAGCCATTAAATGTAAAATTGAATGCATTTTAACTGCCGTAAAGCGTTGTGCCGTAAGACAGTCCGTATTGTTGTGCAGATCCGTAGCATTAGCTACAGCACAAGGATGTGGGTGTTAAAAGTGAATCTTTTTATGACTGTATTGTGTATTTCGGGTCGGTTTAGCTCGTACGCGCTGCAGGATGTTACGACTGATCTGTTTGGTCAGGAAAACTACGGGACAGTGGCAGCTTTCGGGGATTTAAACTCAGATAAACAGACAGACATCTTCATCATCAGAGAAAGTACGTACCTTTACAGTTACGCCCATTTGTTGTACAGAAGTTTAAATAATTAATGTGTTTGAAATAGTTATATGTGTCTATTTTGATTGTGTAATCAATTAAATTGCACATAAAATGATAAACGTTATTGTGCAGTTTCATCTTGATGCTTTCCTCATGTGGTTAATCCTGAAGCTAAGTTATTATGAATGTTTATGTCGTCAAAGGGAACTCCTAATGTAAACCCTGCTGTTCCCTTCAGAAGCAGAGGTGGTGATATTCCTAATGTAAACCCTGCTGTTCCTTTCAGAAGCAGAGGTGATGATATTCCTAATGTAAACCCTGCTGTTCCCTTTCAGAAGCAGAGGTGGTGATATTCCTAATGTAAACCTGCTGTTCCTTTCAGAAGCAGAGGTGGTGATATTCCTAATGTAAACCCTGCTGTTCCCTTCAGAAGCAGAGGTGGTGATATTCCTAATGTAAACCCTGCTGTTCCTTTCAGAAGCAGAGGTGGTGATATTCCTAATGTAAACCCTGCTGTTCCTTTCAGAAGCAGAGGTGGTGATATTCCTAATGTAAACCCTGCTGTTCCCTTCAGAAGCAGAGGTGGTGATATTCCTAATGTAAACCCTGCTGTTCCTTTCAGAAGCAGAGGTGGTGATATTCCTAATGTAAACCCTGCTGTTCCCTTTCAGAAGCAGAGGTGGTGATATTCCTAATGTAAACCCTGCTGTTCCTTTCAGAAGCAGAGGTGGTGATATTCCTAATGTAAACCCTGCTGTTCCCTTTCAGAAGCAGAGGTGGTGATATTCCTAATGTAAACCCTGCTGTTCCCTTTCAGAAGCAGAGGTGGTGATATTCCTAATGTAAACCCTGCTGTTCCTTTCAGAAGCAGAGGTGGTGATATTCCTAATGTAAACCCTGCTGTTCCTTTCAGAAGCAGAGGTGGTGATATTCCTAATGTAAACCCTGCTGTTCCCTTTCAGAAGCAGAGGTGGTGATATTCCTAATGTAAACCCTGCTGTTCCCTTTCAGAAGCAGAGGTGGTGATATTCCTAATGTAAACCCTGCTGTTCCCTTTCAGAAGCAGAGGTGGTGATATTCCTAATGTAAACCCTGCTGTTCCCTTTCAGAAGCAGAGGTGGTGATATTCCTAATGTAAACCCTGCTGTTCCTTTCAGAAGCAGAGGTGGTGATATTCCTAATGTAAACCCTGCTGTTCCTTTCAGAAGCAGAGGTGGTGATATTCCTAATGTAAACCCTGCTGTTCCTTTCAGAAGCAGAGGTGGTGATATTCCTAATGTAAACCCTGCTGTTCCCTTTCAGAAGCAGAGGTGGTGATATTCCTAATGTAAACCCTGCTGTTCCTTTCAGAAGCAGAGGTGGTGATATTCCTAATGTAAACCCTGCTGTTCCCTTCAGAAGCAGAGGTGGTGATATTCCTAATGTAAACCCTGCTGTTCCTTTCAGAAGCAGAGGTGGTGATATTCCTAATGTAAACCCTGCTGTTCCCTTCAGAAGCAGAGGTGGTGATATTCCTAATGTAAACCCTGCTGTTCCCTTCAGAAGCAGAGGTGGTGATATTCCTAATGTAAACCCTGCTGTTCCCTTCAGAAGCAGAGGTGGTGATATTCCTAATGTAAACCCTGCTGTTCCTTTCAGAAGCAGAGGTGGTGATATTCCTAATGTAAACCCTGCTGTTCCTTTCAGAAGCAGAGGTGGTGATATTCCTAATGTAAACCCTGCTGTTCCTTTCAGAAGCAGAGGTGGTGATATTCCTAATGTAAACCCTGCTGTTCCTTTCAGAAGCAGAGGTGGTGATATTCCTAATGTAAACCCTGCTGTTCCCTTCAGAAGCAGAGGTGGTGATATTCCTAATGTAAACCCTGCTGTTCCCTTTCAGAAGCAGAGGTGGTGATATTCCTAATGTAAACCCTGCTGTTCCTTTCAGAAGCAGAGGTGGTGATATTCCTAATGTAAACCCTGCTGTTCCTTTCAGAAGCAGAGGTGGTGATATTCCTAATGTAAACCCTGCTGTTCCTTTCAGAAGCAGAGGTGGTGATATTCCTAATGTAAACCCTGCTGTTCCTTTCAGAAGCAGAGGTGGTGATATTCCTAATGTAAACCCTGCTGTTCCTTTCAGAAGCAGAGGTGGTGATATTCCTAATGTAAACCCTGCTGTTCCTTTCAGAAGCAGAGGTGGTGATATTCCTAATGTAAACCCTGCTGTTCCTTTCAGAAGCAGAGGTGGTGATATTCCTAATGTAAACCCTGCTGTTCCTTTCAGAAGCAGAGGTGGTGATATTCCTAATGTAAACCCTGCTGTTCCCTTTCAGAAGCAGAGGTGGTGATATTCCTAATGTAAACCCTGCTGTTCCTTTCAGAAGCAGAGGTGGTGATATTCCTAATGTAAACCCTGCTGTTCCCTTTCAGAAGCAGAGGTGGTGATATTCCTAATGTAAACCCTGCTGTTCCCTTTCAGAAGCAGAGGTGGTGATATTCCTAATGTAAACCCTGCTGTTCCTTTCAGAAGCAGAGGTGGTGATATTCCTAATGTAAACCCTGCTGTTCCCTTTCAGAAGCAGAGGTGGTGATATTCCTAATGTAAACCTGCTGTTCCTTTCAGAAGCAGAGGTGGTGATATTCCTAATGTAAACCCTGCTGTTCCCTTTCAGAAGCAGAGGTGGTGATATTCCTAATGTAAACCCTGCTGTTCCTTTCAGAAGCAGAGGTGGTGATATTCCTAATGTAAACCCTGCTGTTCCCTTTCAGAAGCAGAGGTGGTGATATTCCTAATGTAAACCCTGCTGTTCCTTTCAGAAGCAGAGGTGGTGATATTCCTAATGTAAACCCTGCTGTTCCTTTCAGAAGCAGAGGTGGTGATATTCCTAATGTAAACCCTGCTGTTCCTTTCAGAAGCAGAGGTGGTGATATTCCTAATGTAAACCCTGCTGTTCCTTTCAGAAGCAGAGGTGGTGATATTCCTAATGTAAACCCTGCTGTTCCTTTCAGAAGCAGAGGTGGTGATATTCCTAATGTAAAACCTGCTGTTCCTTTCAGAAGCAGAGGTGGTGATATTCCTAATGTAAACCTGCTGTTCCTTTCAGAAGCAGAGGTGGTGATATTCCTAATGTAAACCCTGCTGTTCCTTTCAGAAGCAGAGGTGGTGATATTCCTAATGTAAACCCTGCTGTTCCTTTCAGAAGCAGAGGTGGTGATATTCCTAATGTAAACCCTGCTGTTCCTTTCAGAAGCAGAGGTGGTGATATTCCTAATGTAAACCCTGCTGTTCCTTTCAGAAGCAGAGGTGGTGATATTCCTAATGTAAACCCTGCTGTTCCTTTCAGAAGCAGAGGTGGTGATATTCCTAATGTAAACCCTGCTGTTCCTTTCAGAAGCAGAGGTGGTGATATTCCTAATGTAAACCCTGCTGTTCCTTTCAGAAGCAGAGGTGGTGATATTCCTAATGTAAACCCTGCTGTTCCTTTCAGAAGCAGAGGTGGTGATATTCCTAATGTAAACCCTGCTGTTCCTTTCAGAAGCAGAGGTGGTGATATTCCTAATGTAAACCCTGCTGTTCCTTTCAGAAGCAGAGGTGGTGATATTCCTAATGTAAACCCTGCTGTTCCTTTCAGAAGCAGAGGTGGTGATATTCCTAATGTAAACCCTGCTGTTCCTTTCAGAAGCAGAGGTGGTGATATTCCTAATGTAAACCCTGCTGTTCCTTTCAGAAGCAGAGGTGGTGATATTCCTAATGTAAACCCTGCTGTTCCTTTCAGAAGCAGAGGTGGTGATATTCCTAATGTAAACCCTGCTGTTCCTTTCAGAAGCAGAGGTGGTGATATTCCTAATGTAAACCTGCTGTTCCTTTCAGAAGCAGAGGTGGTGATATTCCTAATGTAAACCTGCTGTTCCTTTCAGAAGCAGAGGTGGTGATATTCCTAATGTAAACCCTGCTGTTCCTTTCAGAAGCAGAGGTGGTGATATTCCTAATGTAAACCCTGCTGTTCCCTTCAGAAGCAGAGGTGGTGATATTCCTAATGTAAACCCTGCTGTTCCTTTCAGAAGCAGAGGTGGTGATATTCCTAATGTAAACCCTGCTGTTCCTTTCAGAAGCAGAGGTGGTGATATTCCTAATGTAAACCCTGCTGTTCCTTTCAGAAGCAGAGGTGGTGATATTCCTAATGTAAACCCTGCTGTTCCTTTCAGAAGCAGAGGTGGTGATATTCCTAATGTAAACCCTGCTGTTCCTTTCAGAAGCAGAGGTGGTGATATTCCTAATGTAAACCCTGCTGTTCCTTTCAGAAGCAGAGGTGGTGATATTCCTAATGTAAACCCTGCTGTTCCTTTCAGAGCAGCAGAGGTGGTGATATTCCTAATGTAAACCCTGCTGTTCCTTTCAGAAGCAGAGGTGGTGATATTCCTAATGTAAACCCTGCTGTTCCTTTCAGAAGCAGAGGTGGTGATATTCCTAATGTAAACCCTGCTGTTCCCTTTCAGAAGCAGAGGTGGTGATATTCCTAATGTAAACCCTGCTGTTCCTTTCAGAAGCAGAGGTGGTGATATTCCTAATGTAAACCCTGCTGTTCCTTTCAGAAGCAGAGGTGGTGATATTCCTAATGTAAACCCTGCTGTTCCTTTCAGAAGCAGAGGTGGTGATATTCCTAATGTAAACCCTGCTGTTCCTTTCAGAAGCAGAGGTGGTGATATTCCTAATGTAAACCCTGCTGTTCCTTTCAGAAGCAGAGGTGGTGATATTCCTAATGTAAACCCTGCTGTTCCCTTTCAGAAGCAGAGGTGGTGATATTCCTAATGTAAACCCTGCTGTTCCTTTCAGAAGCAGAGGTGGTGATATTCCTAATGTAAACCCTGCTGTTCCTTTCAGAAGCAGAGGTGGTGATATTCCTAATGTAAACCCTGCTGTTCCTTTCAGAAGCAGAGGTGGTGATATTCCTAATGTAAACCCTGCTGTTCCTTTCAGAAGCAGAGGTGGTGATATTCCTAATGTAAACCCTGCTGTTCCTTTCAGAAGCAGAGGTGGTGATATTCCTAATGTAAACCCTGCTGTTCCTTTCAGAAGCAGAGGTGGTGATATTCCTAATGTAAACCCTGCTGTTCCTTTCAGAAGCAGAGGTGGTGATATTCCTAATGTAAACCCTGCTGTTCCCTTTCAGAAGCAGAGGTGGTGATATTCCTAATGTAAAACCTGCTGTTCCTTTCAGAAGCAGAGGTGGTGATATTCCTAATGTAAACCCTGCTGTTCCTTTCAGAAGCAGAGGTGGTGATATTCCTAATGTAAACCCTGCTGTTCCTTTCAGAAGCAGAGGTGGTGATATTCCTAATGTAAACCCTGCTGTTCCCTTTCAGAAGCAGAGGTGGTGATATTCCTAATGTAAACCCTGCTGTCCCCTTTCAGAAGCAGAGGTGGTGATATTCCTAATGTAAACCCTGCTGTTCCTTTCAGAAGCAGAGGTGGTGATATTCCTAGCGGATCCTAAAACGCCTTACTTCAAACCTAAAGTTCACATCACGAAAGATATCTTGTCAAGGTAAATAACTACGGTTTTAAAAATGCTTGAATACTTTAAAAAAAGAACAATATAATTTAACAAGTGAATCTGTTCCAGTGCTGTGATAAGCAGTGTGGTGCCAGGGGACTTTGATGGAGACTCTCAGATGGATGTCCTTCTCACTGCTGAGATCAGTGGTGGGACAAACGTGCTCATCTTCTGGGGGAAAAACAAGACATTGGGTAACTTTTCAACTCAATTTATGTTTGAACATGAGATGCAGCTCTTAAAAGGTTTTCCATTTAGACATGCCTCTATGCAAAATATCACTAACATCAATCCATCAAGTCTTATTTATATATTATATCACAATTCCTACACAAAGCAACCAAACATGCTTCACAGTAGCGAGTAATGAGTTGCATATAGTAAAGAAAAAGCATTGCTATGATGTCTGCAAACCCAACTTCCCAATGTATGTATTATTAATGATGATATATGTTAAAATATCAGCTTATTTCTATCATTTGTGATTAGTGTTTTGTCATTTTGCTAGATTTATAAGGAGTTTTCTGTTTATGCACATGGATTTTGTGGATATTTGTGGGAAATTACAATTTTAGTCTGTTTAAAAGGATTCACACCATTTACTTAACCTCATTTTCTTGTTATTATGAAATTGTCTTTTTGCTGATGTAGTATTTCTCTCCAAACATTTCAGATCTGTATGATTCACTGCAACTGAATAAGACCTTTACAGATCAACCTCTCATTATGGAGTGAGTATCAGAATTGTGTCCTTATATAAGTATCCGTATTACAATGTAGAAATACTGAGATCATATATTTACAGCACTGTTATGTTATATACAGTATGTTAGGCCCGATGCAGAGCTGCCTTTTTAAGCAGATTATACTCTTCACAGTAGTTCTTAGTTCTCAGCCAACCACACCCGGCACCAGGACAGACCCACTTTTCTAACTTTGCTTGTTTATCTTCTTTTTTTATTTACATGTGTCCAATGTCAAATGTTCAAAATATAAAACATGTGTCTTAAATGTTACTAAAGCATGTTTTTAATTGTCTTCCTTTATTCCTAAAGCTTTAATGGAGACATGATTCCAGATGTATTTGGCGTGACCACCGGCACATCTATGCCTGAAGTCTGTTATCTTACCCAAAGGTGGGTTCTGTTGCTTAAACATGTCACACAGCAATAGCTATTTTATCATTATTATTTATTATATTATTTAATCATTTATTTCCATGTAATTCTTGCTATAGGGTCCCCGAATGGAAGAGGGCTCTGACGTCGCCTGTCAAGCTGCGCAAACCTCACTCAAATGCCTTCATTGATCTCAACAAAGATTTTACTGCTGGTAAGTCATTTATATTTTAGTAAAGCTTTAAATGTTGTCCTAAATACCAAATATATAATTAGGTGCATTATTATGTAAAGTAGCACTCTTATTTAAACTGTTGATTGTTAAACACTGGTTGATGAGGTGATGTTAAATGTCAGTATATTTGATTTCTTATTTTTGTGTCTGGATTGTACTAGATGCATATTCTGCTTTTCTGTGCCAGCTCGTTACTAAGATCCAGTACAAGATTGTGCCACTTATTACAATGCCACAAGAGACATTTTTGCAGTGTTTATTTTGATAAATGAAGTTGAATGAATGAGTTGTTATGCATTTATCAGTTCTACAATGACAGCAAAGATACATGTGAAGAGTTAATCATAAATTCTGAGGTCAAATATAATTTTTATGCAAGACCCTACATTTAGCACTGTTCGAGCTGCATACCTGATAACTCACTAAAATACACATTAAATGTGATAATATTTGCTGGTGGAGTTTGAACAGTTTTATCGCTGGTTTTTCACACGTCTTTGTCAGGCATTGACAAAAATTTGCAATTATACAATGCTGCCTGCGTGGTGTGTACTTAAACAAATTGTGACCATAATATTCCATAAGACGTATACATACCATTCTTTTAATATCAAAACTACAATACCTCTAAAGTAGCTGTGCACGATGAAATGATGAAGTGTTCATCTAAACATTGAAATATTTCAATCACAGTCTTTAGTTCTGAGGCCCCATGACGGGGATATTACATTTTTTAGAAATCCAGCAAATATGAGCAATTTTCTAGTTAACCAACAAAAAAATAATTTTCTTCACCAGTGAAGAGAGAAATTCTTAGCCCTGTCCTTCTGCCCACTGGCTCTGCAGTGTCACTCAGACTTACGGAGAGCTTTCCCTTGGAAAAACTAATCTCCATGTTTAAGGTAAATCAAAGAGGATTTGGCCTTGTCATGCTCACGGCAGGTTTCTTTGTGCATCTTGTGGTCTTGCTCCCATGGCTGTCACAGTTTCATTTTTAGGCAAATCTGTGTTTCACTCGTATAACTTTTAACTATCCATCCATCCATTTTCTTCCCCTTAATCCATTTCTGGGTCGGGGGGTGTCAGTCAGAGCTGCCCCCAGTCCACAGAGCACCAGCCCCTCACTGATCCTCCTGCAGGTGCTGAGTCCACAGGAGCTGAGATCTTTCAGCGGTGGCTTCAGGCAAAGTGGGGTTAAGTGTCTTGCCCAAGGACACAAGGCCAAGGTCAAACACATTTCTGGCAGGAATGTTAAAATATTGTAGAAGCAGCCAATCAAATATAAGATAAGATAAGATAGACTTTATTGATCTCTGATGGAGAAATGTACATGTCACATCTGGCATGGATAGAATCACTCAGATTGTGCTAAAGAAAGAAATGTGCAACATGTTAAATCCAGGATATATTATGTACAATAAAAAGTGGCAATCAAGAGACAGTGTCAATAGCAGTGCCAAGTAGTGTTTGAGCCGAGGAGATTGGTGATGAGGGGGGTTGGAGCATGTGGGAACCCCCTAAAAAACCTCAAAACGTTTCGTCCCCCACTACATCAGATTATTGAATTCTTGATAAATTAAAGCATCAGCATGTTAAGTCATGTATTGTGTTGCCTGACCGAATATCTCCTAAAATTGGATCTCTAATACTAAACAATAAATGGATTCATATAGACCCCTCCCCCCGGTGTCCCAACCCCAACTTGGCAACAGCAGTTCTAGGGGACATTAGTGTTCAAGAGTCAAGGCGATGGAGCAGGATAAAAGGGCAAATAAAAGACAAAGTGGTACAGGAGGGGATGTGGCAGTGACAGTTTGGAAGTCTGCAGAGTATAGCTCTGCTTGTTCTGGGCCTCCACCACCTGCTCTCTTAAGCAGCACCGTCTGGGGCAGCGCAATGAGGCTTATCAAGCGGGCTCAGAGGCAGACAATCTGTTTTAGGCTCACACTAGGCACACGGCGCCTAAGCAGAATCAACAATCAGACTATCCACAAAGGCCCTGTCATAATGGTGTTGTTATCATGTTTAAAAAAATAAATAAAATAGTGATTATGGTCTTCACAAAGGTCTTCACAAAGACTGGCCTGTTGTGGGGTGTTCAGAATATAAATACTAACCCAATAGACCTACATGAAAACTATAAAACGTATAAAGTACAACATAAGGTTTGACAAAAGTCCACTTTATGGTACGAAATGTTGCCAACAATAGCTGGTAGAAGTCCTACTGCATCATGAGTCATGACAGGCTTTTGGCAACAATACACTATCATTAAATGGATAAGCGATCATATCGTTATCGTATTAGATCCAGGGATGTTCCGGATGTTCTTGACCTGATACCTAGAAAGTATAATCACATGATACCAAATTGTGTAAAGTTAGGCTGGCTCTATTAAACTGCACTGGGGCCGGCATGGAGGCGCAGCAATTAGTGCTTTTGCTGTGGAGATTGCATGTTCTCCCCGTGTCTGCATAGGTTTCTCCTGAGTCTCACCACTAAAAACTAGGGCTGTCAAAATTATCGCGTTAACGCACGTTAATAACATTTTTTCATTAATTGCGTTAAAAAAATTAACGCATTTCACGCATGCCCATGCGTCCCATAATAACACTCAGAATGCGGCGGACACATGCGTGTGTAAGATGGGGACAGAGCAGGTCTCTGGGAATTCAAGTTTTGAAAGAACACACGCATGTGTCCGCGGGGCACTTGTTGTTTCCTGTATGAACTCTGCATGATGAGTTTCGGGCGCCACAGCGCTCTGGACAGCAGGTCCCACTTCCAGCGGCTGTGATCACGGCGAACGGCGCTGCGTAACGGGATCATATCCAAGACCACGCACAGAACTATTACAGAACTATTCTCTAGTGTGCGTACGTGTCTTTGCGCTGGACTGCGGAGCCTCAGTCTCCTCCGTGTCTTCTCCCGAAGCGCACTCGCTAAATTAAAGCTGAGGTACCTAATTTTCCTTTCGACCATCAGTTCATGTTAGTTGTGTCATAAAAAGTAATGTTGTGAGCAAATCAAACAGATTTAATGACATTCTGCTTCAGACTGTTTTGAAATGTCCCTCATCTGTAACAAACAATAGTTTTGGTCTGAGTCTAAACAGAAAGACAGAATGTTAATAATGTTAATTCCATTTTAGATGGATTTATTGTTATAACAAACAAATACAGTTCATATGTTCACTAAGCTGAGATTTATCTTTCCATTCAAACAACAATTTACAGAAAAATATGGCATAATTTTGCCAATAGTTTGAAATGTGATTAATTACGATTAATTAATTTTTAAGCTGTAATTAACTCGATTAAAAAAATTAATCGTTTGACAGCCCTACTAAAAACATACACAAAAGATATGAACATAACGTGTGAGTGAACGGATGGTAATGGCCGGAGGTGTGGATGCACCATGTGTTTGGCGTCTCGCTCCTGTCATCGCAGCGTGGAGTTAATGGAATTTACTGGTAAACCTCCACACAAGAAGTACACTGCAAAAAATTATAGAATAAAAGGTGATAAATGCTTGAATCAAGTGGTTTTATCTGAATTTGCACACATTTTGACAGTTTAAAAACAAGATTTGCCATTGGGACAAGCAAAAATGTCTTGTTTTAAAACGGTATAAGACAAATCAAGAAATGTCTCCCTTGGAATGAGACAAAAATCGCAACAGCACTTGAAAAAAGACCAAATGGCTTGTTGGCAAATCTTGTTTTAAGAAAGTTAAAAGATATTCAAATTGAGATAAAAAATACTTGATTCTGCGTTTATTACCTTATATTTTGTCACTTTTTGCAATGTATGTGTCAAACCACTTGAGGGATACAACTTTTAAGTAAAAATCTGAAACATAAATTACAATGAGATCCAATATCAATACCTTCGTTCAAGGATATGGATTCAATCATTCAAAGCATCTCACATGATTCTTTCAGGACCACACGTAAACATACATTGTCATTGCAGTCTCCTTCATATGGCTCTTCTTTGCAGCTCCACAGCATAAAACAAAATAAGAGCAAAAAAAGGCACATTGGTTCGATCCCTAATCCACCCCAAAGCAATAGCACCTACGTTGTTCCCGTAATGGTTTTAGAAGATTATTTCTTCCGGGAATAGCATCGGCTTTTTCTGTGGCTGCCGTTTTTGCCATGTTTGTGAATGAGCCGTTTTGATGGATCTGGGTGGATGTCACACTGTGCGGAGTAGGCCTGCAGATTGGCTTAGGGACGGATTTATTCAGCACAAGCTTTCACTTCTCTCGGAGCCTGGATTCTGCGCTGTTTTGTTTGGTGGCAAAAAAAATGAAGGTATTCATGGCGTTGACACAGGCTACAGGTGGTAGTTTTCTTCAGAATAGAGTTGCAGTATATATTTTGTCATTTGAATATTGTTGACTCTGAGTGTACAGCTGCCCTGACATTGCCAGTTATGTTTTGCTGTATTGTTGGAGGAAAATTTAGATGTAGAAAGTGGGAGAAAAAGAAATCAAATAAAAACCTCTAAGAAAATTGTAAATCATTTTAACTCTGAAATATAGATTACTTCATCCATCTATCCACCATTTTCTTCTGCTTTATCCATTGCCGTGTGGCGGGGGACTTCCCTCGCAACACTCACCTCCACCTTGGATGCATCGAAAACATGCCCAAGCCACTTCCAACTGGCTACTCTTTACATGGAGAAGCAGTGGCTCTACTCCGAGCTCTTGCCGTGTGTCTCAGCTCTTCATCCTATTTCTAAGGGAGCATCTAGCCACACTGCAAAGCGTTGGCAGAGGCCAACACTGGGAACAGAGCTCTGACTCCGGTCACACAGAGAGCAGACGACCCTCGGCAAAGTAATCTTTTTTCATGTAAGCGTATTTCACAGACCAAGGTCACGCAAAGCGAGAGGTCTCCAATCACCCTCTATTTACTTACACCAAGGACCTTCTTGCTGTGAACCACTGCACAACCGCGCCTCAAT